GAGGCAGGGTGAGGAAGGGCCTTCGGGAGAGGGAACAGCATGTGGCACAGAGTAGGAAAGAGTATATAAGCAGTAAGAGTAGAGAGGGGGAGTGTTTAAGGTATTGAGGACAGCAAAGGTTAGGCTTCAAAAGGCAGGCAAGAGTCGGATGAAAAAAAGGTCTGATGTGTTCCGCAGGGGGTGTGGTGTGTAGGGATTTATCCGGTGGGTGATGAGAGCTGTTGAAATGGAAAGAGGAGGATGTTCCAGGCCTACCTCAAGGTACTTAAGCTCCTGAATCCTGTCGCTCAGCAAACCTGCAAGTTGGCTTTTTAGTCTGTGTGGTCAGGCTCTGTGAGTTTAAGTGGTTGACACAAGCTGAGTTGGCCATTTAGATGGAGACCATCCTTCTGAATGATGGGTGTGTCTAGCTTAGGGGGGTCAGGAGGGGGTGCCTCCCCTCTGTCTCCTCTCCAGAAGCACATCCCTGTGGCCTCCCTGGGACTCAGCCTCATCCTCTGGCTCCCATGTTGCCTCTCAGCAGCCCTAGCCCTAACCCCAGCCTGGCACCCTCCAGAGTTGGGGGAGTCTGTGACTAAAGGGTTAACATGTCTAGAACTTACTCCCCTGGCTGCCTCTTGGCCAAGCCTCAGTCCTTGTCAAAGTTCACTACCTCCCAGACACATATGGCCTTTGATGCCGCATTCCCATGTTTAAGGAGCCAGATTCCCTCCCAACCTGCCAGGGCCCCTGTCTGCCTCCAAACCGCCTGTGTCCGGGGTGGGCACGGTACCTCTGCTATTGGACGGCATTGATTTTCCTCCATGACGGTCAGTCATCACTGCTTCGGGTAATGTATTTTAATGAATTGTTATCCTGCTGGACGTGGACTCAAAGGACTTTTTATCATGAAGGGTCCCATCCTGAAAACCTTAATAAATCAGCCACAGTTCAAATCAGGCCTGGTGCTGGACAGGGAGGAGTCTCTCCTCACCGAGTCATCGCTAAGGAGCCTTTCTCTTGCTGTCTAGCAGGCTGCCGCCCTTTAGCCTTCATGGTTGGGCCTCCTATCCTGACATCTACCTAGTGAGACCTCCCCACTTGACACTGGTGAGGGAAGCAGGGTCCTTAACCTCAGCGCTGGGTCAGGGCTTCTTAAGATGTGACCCACCATGTGCGCCGGGACCCCACAGAGCTAGTTAACATGCCACTTCCTGGCCTCGCCCCAGACCTATGAGTAAAAACCTTTGGGGGTCAGGCCCCAGACTCTACATTTTCTAACAAACCCCAGAGGAGATTCTCATGAACAGCAGAATTAGAAAACACCTGCCCTAAATCCATATCTCAGCATCCCATGTTTCTTTCTTTCGTTCTTTTTGAAGCGGATGGGCTGGAAGCGGCTTTCCTGCGTTCTGGCCTGTACTGTGCTTCTGGCCCTGTGCGCTCTCCAGCAGCTCACTGGAGGGAGCCTGGGGAGCAGGTCGGCATCCAAGTCAGCTGGGGATTTTCCTCAGAGCTCTCCAAAAGCATGACTCGCACAGCTGGATCACGGCCGCCCTGGAATAAGGGCTCCTTGGTGCAGTGGAACTCGGCATTGAGGGTGGGGTCCCGGGCTTGGAGTAGCTGCTGGGAAGCACTGGGAGACATATTCAGGAAAAACAAGTGGAGCCGATGGTGGACGTCTCAGCTTCCCTGGAGAAGTGGGCAGGGAGACGGCCATGTGACGGGCTGGCCAGGCTGGCACGGCTTGGGGCCTGGGGGCTTGCTACCCGGGCCTGTCTAACTGGTGTTTCCCCTGCAGTGTATTCCCCTATTCCATTGTCATCCATGCCGGTACCCACGGCCCCAGCCAGGCAGGTTCCTCCCTCTACCCGCTTTTACTGTTGTCTTGACTTCTTCTCATCTGACACAATTTTTACCTGAACTGGCCATTCCTGGAATCTGCTGGGATTGGAGATGGATCTGGTGGCCCTCAGCTTTAGAGCCCTCACCCCCCTCGAAGCTCCCTCTCTTCCTTCCCCAGTCTTTCTCACTCCTTCTCCTTGCTCTACTGGCCCCTCTCTTTTGCCCTTCCTGCCGTAATAGATTGAAACCAACCTTGTGTTCCGGCTTCTTGTGGTCCTGGTAAATAGCTCTTAGCGTGGCCGCGGTGGATGGGGAGAAGGTGTGGGGAGCAGGGGCACTTGCCTTCCTCTCTGATGGGAGGAGCAGGGGTAGGTGCCCCACAGGCCCTGCCCCATGCGCTGTGTTAACAGCAGAGCCCTCTCAGGGCCTGGGCAGACCCGGGACTGGTCTGCCCTTAGTTTCTCCCCTTGGTATGCAAAGGAAGATGACCAGTGAAGGCTACAGAACAGCCTGGAGCATTTGGCCAGCACTGGGCGATCAGGAGCTGCAGGCCCTACTTTGAGGGCAGAAATCGACCTTTTCATGTGTATTAAGCAAACAGGAGTTAATTACACTATTTACACATCTTCGATTTTCTTCCTAAGCCTGAGTGGCCTGGCAGTTATCATTCCTGACCTTGTTGCTGCACACAGGAGCCCATATGGGGATAAATTACACGGCGGAATCCGTTTAATATTGACATTTTCAAAATCAATGAAGAGTGGGGCCTGGCCAGCAGGGCCAGGATATCAGGTGATGGCAGTCAGTGTGAATTCTGCCTCCCAGCCTCAGGGATGCTTTCTTAGCTCTTCTGCCCAAACTTCTTCTTTTGTGCTCCCAAGGAAGTGCTGGGTTGGGTCTGCTTTCTCCCGGAAGGAGAGAGGACTCTCAGATTTGCACCCAGTGCCTCTCTTTGCCTTCTGTGTAAGTGTAAATGGGAAGGCATGGGACACCCCATCTTTTGCTTTGTTGCTTTCCCCACTTCCCAGACCAGGCAAGTAGGGACCTGGGAGTCTGGGGGTGTAGGGTATGGAGGGTACCCCTGGCTCAGGAGGAAACACTCTGGCATCTCATGGTGTGGGCTGCCGAGTGGGGCCCAGGCCTGGGAATGGGCCTGCTTCTGTGGGGTCAGCAGCTTTCCAGGTATGGAGAGAAGAGACAGCCCTTCAGACTTCCACTAACTGGTATGCGGGGCCCATCCTCATGGGAACCACCCCCAGAAATCTGAGTGGATGCGAGGCTCCTGTCTTTAGTATTTTTCTCCTCTAGAAAAGCTTGCTGGAGGCTCTGCTTTTTTGTGTAGCAAGACACCCAGTTCTTTGGAGAGACATGCATGAGGGTCAGGCTCTCTCATCTGCCAGTGTCAACCCCTTAGGGGTGTGGACAGACAAGTGGGAGAGGCAGCTATGCTTGCAGTGGCCTCTTAGCAGCCTGCAAGGGGTCCCAGCACAAGGCACAGGTTGCTGGACTTTCAGACCTATCTCAGCCCAAACCCCTCTCCCACTCAGACCAGCCCCGTCCCGTGAGCCCTGTGGCAACACTCTGGCCAGTGTCACTTGGGTTCTGCTGCTGGCCTGGGTGTGTGTGTGCGTGTGCGTGTGTGTGTGTGTGTGTGTGTGTGTGTGTGTGTGTGTGTACGATGCTTGCCGGGCATCTCTGCGCTCCCGCTCGATCGGTGACATCATTTGGTTGGCCTGTGGTTTGTGTGTGTGTGTGCCGATCAGGATGTTCCTGTTTTGTGGTTGTCTGACCGCTTGTTTTTGGCCATGGGTTTCTGTATGAGTATTTATTTTTAGAGGTTGCCACTTCTGGCCCCAGGGCTGATCTGGGGGGCATGGGAGGAGCTTGTGTTTTCTGAAGTGTTTGTGGCTTTAAATTTAAGTATTTATTTTGAGGTGTTGCTGCCTATCGTGTGTTCATTCTATTGTGTGTGTGTGCATGTGTGCGATATGAGAGCCAGTGAGTGTAGAATAATAAAAATTGTGTGCTTTTTGAAGTTCTGTTTTTAATTTAGTTTTGCCTTAACTTAGTTTTATGTTTATTGTCTTAAATTAGTTCTGATATTAAGCTCCAGCTTTACCAGGTGCTATGTGTCTGCAAATAAATAGTTTCACCTCTCAGAACCTCAGTTTCTCCATCTTTAAAATGGGCCGAACACTCCCTAACACACAGGATTAGAAACAGTGTTTGTGTAAAGTATGTAGCAAAGTGTTTGGCTGCATGATACCGATTATTATTATTTGTATTTGCATATATGTACCCACAGTGTGCTTTCTGACTGGGCACCTGGGCATTTGATGTGGGTGAACACGGGGTGCTTGATTTGGGTGATTACTGGCTGGCATGTAAGTCTTTGGACATCTTTGTGCCAAGTTGTGTGTGTGTGTGACTGTTTGGGTCTGAGTTGGGGTTTGTGCAGTATTTGGGAGAAACTTTTTTTTGCCAAGTGGGGGCCTGCCTTGGAGTGAGGGAAGGGGTGTGTGTGTGTGTGTGTGTGTGTGCGTGTGTGTGTGTATCTTGGGCTGGGAGTTGGGCTGCTGATTGTACAGGGTGTGAAATCACTGAGTTCCTCTGGGCGGGGGAAGTTCTTCGTTCCTGAGTCAGCCCTTTGGCCTTGAGCCACCCAGCGCTCACTTTTTCCTTTCAGAGAAAGTATTACTCAGGGGGGCCCTGGAGCTGTCTGTAGACAAAATGACACAGGGGGCACCTCTCCCCAATGAAAACCTCTGCCTTTTGTTCTCGATCTCTAAGATGCTTCCCTGCCCCCGCCCCAATCCCTTTCCAGAACCTTCCTGGGCCCCAGCATGCAGAGTGAATGTGCCTCATTTGACATGGGGCCTGTTGGCTTTGGTCCAGAACTTCCAGGTCCTTGGTAAGCTAGCAAGATGCCAGAGGCAAATTTTGGACTGGGCGACTTAACCTCCAAGGCCTCCTGCCCAATCTTACGATCTGCTGCCTGGCCCTGAAGCAGGGTATTGGGATGGGTCCTTTAGTCCTTTTGCCTATCCGTCACCTTGCTCTATCGCAGGGCACTGAGAGGAGGCTTTAGGATCCAGGGAATGGAAGCCTTTACTCCTCTCCTCGGGAGAATAGATGATGTCCCTGCTTCCCACTGACATCTGCTCTTTCTCTTGCAGAGGTTGTGGGACACACGCAGGGGCCACTGGATGGGAGCCTGTATGCCAAGGTGAAGAAGAAGGACTCCCTGAATGGCAGCACTGGGGCTGTCAATGCCACACGTCCTGCTCTGTCGGCCACTCCCAACCACGTGGAACACACCCTGTCCGTGAGCAGTGACTCCGGCAACTCCACAGCCTCCACCAAGACAGACAAGACTGATGAGCCTGCCCCCGGCCCCTCCAGTGCCCCTGTTGCCCTGAGTCCTGAGGAGAAGCGCGAGCTGGACCGCCTGCTCAGTGGCTTCGGCTTAGAACGAGAGAAGCCAGGCAATATGTACCACACCCAACACCTCCGGTCCCGCCTGGCGGGGGGCCCTGCTGTGCCCTCTGCCAGCCGTCATGTTGTCCCAGCCCAGGTTCACGTCAACGGTGGGGCCTTGGCATCTGAGCGGGAGACAGACATTCTGGACGATGAACTGCCCAACCAGGACGGGCACAGCGTGGGCAGCATGGGCACATTGTCTTCCCTGGACGGGATCACCAACACCAGTGAGGGGGGCTACCCAGAGGCGCTGTCCCCCTTGACCAATGGCCTGGACAAGCCCTACGCCGTGGAACCTATGGTGAATGGTGGGGGCTACCCCTATGAGTCTGCCAGCCGGGCAGTGCCTGCCCATGCGGGCCACCTGGCCCCCATGCGACCCTCCTACTCTGCACAGGAGGGTTTAGCTGGCTACCAGCGGGAGGGCCCCCACCCCGCCTGGTCACAGCAAGTGAGCACCTCCCACTATGATCATGACCCCAGCAGTATGTTCCGCTCTCAGTCCTTCCCGGACACTGAGCCCCAGCTGCCCCCAGCTCCAGCCCGGGGGGGAAGCAGTCGGGAGGCTGTGCAGAGGGGCCTCAATTCCTGGCAGCAACAGCAGCAGCAGCAGCAGCCTCACCCGCCTCCTCGTCAGCAGGAAAGAGCCCACTTGGAGAGTGTCCGGCCCAGCAGGCCCGGCCCCCAGCCATTGGCAGAGACACCCACGCCTGGCCTCCCTGAGTTCCCGAGGGCAGCCTCCCAGCAGGAGATCGAGCAGTCCATTGAAGCCCTCAACATGCTGATGCTGGACCTAGAGCCATCCTCGGCTGCCGCTCCGCTGCACAAATCCCAGAGTGTCCCTGGGGCCTGGCCTGGGGCCTCCCCACTCTCCTCTCAGCCTCTTTCCGGCTCCTCCTATCAGACCCATCCACTGACCCAGTCCAGATCTGGCTACATCCCCAGTGGGCATTCCTTGGGAACCCCTGAGCCAGCCCCACGAACCTCCCTGGAGTCCATCCCTCAGGGCAGGTCTTACTCACCTTATGATTATCAGGCATGCCCGGCTGGGCCCAACCAGAGTTACCGTCCAAAGAGCCCAGCTTCCTCCTCTTCCTTGCCTGCTTTCCTTCCAACCAACCACAGCCCTCCAGGGCCTCAGCAGCCCCCCACCTCTCTCCCTGGCCTCGCCGCTCAGCCTCAGCTCCCACCAAAGGAGGTGACTTCAGACCCATCCCGGACTCCGGAGGAGGAGCCCTTGAACCTGGAGGGGCTGGTGGCCCACCGGGTTGCAGGTAAGAGCCTCAGGGACCATCTGTGCTGGGTATCCCCTCTTTATTCCCTCCATATCTTCCCTCTTTGGTCTTGGTTGGTCTAGCTGGGGGAAGGTACAGGCAGAGCCATCACACCTCAGCAGACACTGGTTTAGCTTGGAGAAGAGGCTGGCAGGAGCCCACACTAGTCATCCCTTCCTGCATTCATTGTCTGTTAGGCTCCAAAGCAGGCATTGAGATGGAAAGATCAATGCCTTTCAGTTCCTGTCTTCAAGGAACTTACAGTCTAGTGAGGGACTGGTAATTCTAACAGAGTGCAATGTGTGCTACAACAGAGGTGGAGACCAAAGCCCTAGAGCCTGGAGAAAGCAAGGCTTATCGGCTAGGACAATCAGGGGAGCTTCCTGGAGGTAGCGATTTTGGGGCTGGAGTACATATCTTCCAAGGAGAGAGGAAATGCCCTCTGTAACTGTTTGTAGTGCTCTCTGTACTCAGACTTCAGTTTCTTAGGGAAGGCATAGAGAATGCTAGAGGGAGGTCTCTATAGACCAGTGATGGCGAACCTATGACACGCGAATTCAGTTTTGGGGTTGATTTTTCTTTGTTAAATGGCATTTAAATATATAAAATAAATATCAAAAATATAAATCTTTGTTTTACTATGGTTGCAAATATCAAAAATTTCTATATGTGACACAGCACCAGAGTTAAGTTAGGGTTTTTCAAAATGCTGACATGCCGAGCTCAAAAGGTTCACCATCACTGCTATAGACCCAAATTCCCTCTTGAGCATAACAAAACCTGAGAGGTTATCCTGACACTCTTGCGCTCTGAGTGTCCAACCCTGGTGGGTCCTTTCAGGATATTTCTCTGTTTTGGGGGAGGCCCATGTCCCCCTTCTGGTCCAGTTGTCCTGTTGGTCCTTGCTTTAGGACCAGCTTTGTATGGGAAGCAGACGCTGAGAAACAAAGCTTCATTTTCTATCATAACGTGAATGGGCTTATCTTTCTGAAGAGAGGAGAGAGGGTGGAGCAATAGAAAGAGCTTATTGGGGAGATAAAGGCAAGAAATGGCAGTCTGTTCAGGCCATATTGGGGGGCGGCAGGAAGGGTCCCCTTCCTTTCCACTGGCCTAAGCTTATGACCATTCCAGGGGGCATTCAAACCGGGTGGGGAATCCTATGGCTTGATTTTGTTATGTAGCTAAAGCTCAGGCAGGTGTGAACCAGAGACTGGGGCTGGGGGGCAGGGGGCTTGTGCCAAGTTCCTCAGCTGATAGAGTGGTGGAAGCTCAGGGAGGAGAAGAGCAATCTGGGCAGCTGACTCTGCCCTGCACCCCTGTTTCCTAAATTTATGGGAAGCTGAGTCACCATGCCAGCTGCAAGGAGAGGGAGACACCCTTGCTGGGGATGGATGGTGGGTTTGGGGAAGTAGGCCAGCTGGCTATTGGGCTGGGCCCAGGACCTGGGTGTCGGGGCATGGACACCCAGAGCAGAGCACAGTCCCCAGCTCAACTGTCCATGACTTGAAATTGGCCATAATGGAAGAAGTGACACCATTGAAACTGGCAATTAGGGCTCTCCCCTGGAGAGCTAGTCTAGCAGCACATCATTGCTTTTACCCAAGAGTCAAAACACAGGATAAGTAGCTCTGTAACCCTAGCAGTGAAAGAAAGACTCCATGGGCGTGGTCCAGACTTTTCCTCCTGGCTTTCTGAAGGGAGGGGAATGGAGCCCTCTCAATATTTTACAGAATTGGGGTAGTGGCCTGAGGAATAGTGGCACTCTAGCCTAATGGAGGGTAGGATCCAGGGGACTTTTCTCTGGGGAACAAGATGAATTACCTCCCCCTAACACAACCCTTCTGTATAGCTCTCCTGGAGCTAGCTCAAGAGGAAGGCATACCTAAATGTTTCAGGAAGGATGCCCATCTTGTAGTGCATCCTCCCTCAGCCTTTTCTCTCCTACTAGTTTCTGAGGTCTTGGCGTTCAACCTCTCTATCTTGTAGCTGCTCTGTCTTTGGCTGCTAAGAAGTCATAGGAAAGGGGCGATATTATTGGCACATCTCTGCTCCCATTTCTTCCACTAACTGTGTATGACTCAGGAGAAGGGATGAGATGCATAGAGGAGCAGTTATACCTGGTTTCTAGGCCTGTAAAGGGGTCTCTCTGGTCCATGCCCATCATGAACAGTGTTTTTTATGTCAGCAGATCCTTAGTAACCCTTCAGGATGTCTGCCATGCAAGTGTAGATAAAGGCACATAAACAGGATCAATGTGCAGAATAGTCTAGAAGCTAGGGAGGATAAATTTCCACCACCTCTTTCTGCTCATTCTAATTCCACAAGAAGCTGGAACATAAGCTTTAACATGAGTAACCCAGGAAGCTCAGATCTAAGGGAGAATGTCTTCATGGCCATGAACTTGATCTGGTTTCTCCTGGCTTTTCTCCCTCAGGTCCTCATTTTCCTACTTGGCTATCCTCCATGCTCTGTATCATGTCCCTGGTTCTTTCCACTTTGATTCAACAACTCCTTATGCTTTATTTCAGCTTAGATCTCAGAGAATAATGACGTAGTTTTTTTTTTTAACTTATTAAGGGGTAGGTACCAGAAACCTGTAGCACACACTACACTTTCTTGCAAAACATTAGAAATATTATCACAGCCAGGGACAAAGTAAGCATACCCATTATCACCACTATCATTTAACATTGTATTGGATGTCCTAGCCAGTGCAATAAGACAAGAAAAAGAAATAAGAGTCAGAGTTGGTGAGTCCAATCAAGTTATCTTATGATCCCAGTTCTGTGACTAGACTGATCTCAAATGTCTCTAGAGATAGAGATTTCAATGCATGTTGAGAGCAAGATGTGGATCTTATCCTTAAGGAGTCTAGAGTTTAGTAAGAGGAAAAAAGAGCTGGAACTTTAAAGTCATTGTTAATAAGGGAAGTATGGAGAAAGTTCTGTGGGATTGAGGATAAAGGAGATATCACTATCAGCAAGAGAGACTGGAGTGACTCTGGGTTGAGTGTGGGTTTTAAACAGAACCTTGGACAATTGGTAGGATTTTGGAAAGTGAATAGGGTCATTGGAGAAAGAGGTTGCACAGTGAAGACAGAAAAACATAGGAGTCAAGAAAGGTAGCCTAGGTCCTGCCTCTGGTTGGTCTTAAAAGCCAGACTAAAGAGCTTGAAACTTACTTAGTGGCAGTGTAGGAAACTATTTTAATCGGGAGAGTATGCCGTGGTCTGAGATGTAGTTTAGGAAGCTGTAGTTTAGGAGACACTTTGAGTTGGGAGCATATTAGATAGCTTGGGTATGGGAACTGGATCAGGGTGCTGACCATGGAAATGAAAAAGAAGAGATGAATGCCAAGGATGCTGTGCAAGAAGTGGGTGTTTACAAATTGATTGGATGTAGTGCGTGAGGGAAAGGGAGACATCAAAGATGATTCTGCAGTTCCATGAATAGAAATAGAAAGATAGTTCCATTAACTATCTAGTTCCAATCCAGGAGTTAGGAGAAAGAGCAAGTTTAGTGTAAGATGAAGACTTCAGGGTTAGACATGCTGAATTTGAGGTGATGGTGGAGCCTGTAGGTAGAGATGTATGAAAGGCAATTGAATATACAGAATTGGAGTCTGAAAGAGCTATAGATTTGGAGCCATCCTCACAAAGGTGAAATGTAAATCTTTGGGCATGGATGATGTCTCTATGTCACTGGGCATGCAGAGAAAAGAACGTAGGGTAAAACAACCATGATGGAAATGGAGGCCATACAGTGGACTGAGAATGAATGTTCATGCTGGTGAGAAGAGATGCAGACTGTGGGTCATCACAGAAGTCAGGATAGTAAAGGGTTTCCAGGAGGAGGAGCTGGGGGAAGGGCAGTAATGTCACTGTAGAGAGGTCATGAGAAGGAGGACTGAGAAAAATGCACTGGGCTTGCCAATTAGGTGGCCTCAGTGATTTTCAAAGGCATATTTTCAGTAGGGTGATGGTGATAGAAGCCAGACTGAGGGACTGAGTGAGTGGGGAGGGAGTGTAGACAGCATGTTAACTACTCTTCTGAGTGGTTTTGTGATAAAAGGAGAGAAGATGGTAGCTAAAGAGGGTAGCAAGATATTCAGAACTTTTTGTACATATAGAAGAGAGAATATGGAGGTTAGAGGGAGAAAAAAAACAGATGAGAGAGAAAGAAATTGATTGAATAAGGTCTCTAAGAAAGTAAAAGGAGATAGGCTTAGGAGTCTAGGTGGATAATTTAGGCTCATCTAGGAGGTGAGGCACCTCTTTATGAAATAATGAGGGATAGATACAGACATAGGGAGCTCTGGGAGCTTGAATTGAGAACCCTCCATTCGATTATTCATCCAATATGAACCCCTAATCTGTGCTACATGCTATTCTAGGCTCTGGAAAAATGGTGGTAAACAAAGAAAAATCTTTGCCTTCATGGTGGAGTTGGACAATAAACAAATAAGCAAAGACATATACAACATATCAGATGGGTGATAAATGCTGTGGAGATAAAGCAGCAAAGTGCCAGTGAGGGGTTGAGGGTGCGTGGGTGGTTGCACTTTTTATAGGATGGTTAGGGATGGCTTTTCTGGGTGGTGAGGGAACGTGCCAGGTGAACACCAAGTGCAAAGGAGTGTACCTGCTATGGGGAGTGTAGTGGGACACGAAGTCAGAGAGGTCATGGGAATGAGGGCCAGCTTACATGGGCCTTGTAGGTGATCATATAAACTTTGGCTTTTGCTCATTTTGTTGTGAGGAGCCTTAGGAAGGATTTGGGCAGAAGAGTGATTTCATCTGACTTGTTCTAAAAGGAACAGTGTGGCCTGCATGGAAGGAAGAAGACCAGTTAGGAGGCTGCTGATTTGGATCAAGATGGTAGGCATATTTTTGAGGTGGAGTCATTAAAACTTATAGGTAAACCGGCAATGGGATGTAAGAGCAAGAAATCAGGAGGTGAGATGCCTCTTCATGAAATAATAAAGGATAGATATAGATATAGATATAGATATAGATATAGATATAGGAAAGTCAAGGTTTTTGATCTTAGCAACTAGAGGATGGAGTTGTTCTTTATTGAGATGGGTACCGATATAGGAAGAGCTGGCTTAGAGGGGATATCGTAAGTGTGACTTTTGCCATGTTAGATTTGAGATGCCCACAAAACATCCAAGATGGTGGGACATATAAGTTAGGAGTCTCAGGGGGAGGATCGAGCTTAGAAATGTGAGGGTAACATTGTGTGGCTATCATGTAAAGCATGCCGCTGCATGCCGTCACCTAGGGCGCGAGCACAGGTAGAGGAGAGGTCCCAGGAGTGCGTCTGGCGTCTCACACATTCAGCAGTTAGGGACGTAGGAGGAACCAGCAGAGAAACTGCTGTGGAGCAGCTTGTGACGTGTGGAGGAAAGCTGAAAGGGTGTGGGTCCCTGGAAGCCAGTGATAGTGGTCACTGGGAGGCCATGAGTGTAAAGGTGGCTTGGGAGTCAGCTAGGGTGAATGAAGGGATGACATAGCAGATCCTCATAGTGCATCCAGGCAGGCTCACTTTAAGGACTTTGCAGCGACGCCCAGCAGCTTTGGGCAGGAGTAGAAAATCCCAGAGAGCAGGATTTCTGTGGTAGGTGTGATGGAAGAACAAAGAGCTGAGGGAAGCTGGGATGCCAGGGAGTAGGACCCTTGGACTCAGCCTGGCATGGTCACAGCTGAATCCAGGAAGAGTCAGGTGCCCATGAGAGGAGAGAGGACCCAAGGTGGGGCCATGCTGACTGTGAGAGGCAGGTGGCATGTGGGGCAACAGGACTGAAATCTTCTGGGCCCAGGCTGGGGTTAGAAATTAGAGGGACATGGTGACCTGCCGAATAGCAGGAGGTCTGTCTGCTCTTTGGAGAAGTAAGATCCTAGATCCATCCTCTCTTCTTATCTGACCTCTTCCCCCCTTCCCTCCAGAGTGTGACCAGAATACCAACTAATTTGATTTTCTCTTTGTTTTTGTTTTGTTTTGTCTTGTTTAATGCCTCGTTCCTTGCGTTCTTCGTTGTCCCATGTCCATCTGTCCCCTGTGCCATGGGTGTGGTGCCTTCCTTGCCTGGTGTCATCCCTTCCCTTCCTGCTTGCCTCCCATCCCTGCCGGCTCCCCCGGGGTGGTGTGGGCAGCGTATAACGCCAGATTGCAGGGTCTTGGGCTAAGTGTCAGCTACCGGCACCCTCCTCTCCACCGGCTCCGATCCTCCTCCCTCTCTGGTTGGTTCCTCTCCTCTCCCCTTTATAACTCCATGGCCCTCATCTAGCTCTCAGTTTCTCTCTTCCCCTCCTCCTTCATGGACTATTTCTTCCATACTTTTGCCTCTTTCTTCCTCCTTATTTTTCCATTTCCTCTTCACTTTTCTTCTTCTCCTTCTTCTGTTCTCTTCTTTCCATCTGTTTCCTATTCTCTTTGACCCTCTCTCCTTTGCTCACTGCCCCCTTCTTGCTCCTTTGCTCACTGCCCCCTTCTCTCTCCTTTTCTCACTGCCCCCTTCTCTCTCTTTGCCCACCTGTCCCTCCTCCCTCCTCCCTCCTTCTGCATGAGTGAGTGCTCCCACTTCTGCATGGACACAGGCCTGATGCTTCCAGCCTTGGCCTTACCTGCTAGGAACAGGGTCTGGGCTAAGGAGACTAACTCTCAGGCTCCCTGTGGACACGCAGGCCTTTGCAGTGAGGGAGCTCAGCGCCAGGTCTGGGGCCTCAGCAGGAGACAAAGAGTGGTGCCCAGCTCCTGCTGCTCTGTCCACTCCTGAGTATAGCACTCCCTGGGGACAGAGCACCGCTGTGACCTCATTCCAAATCTCTGATACCCACGGCCAAGTCAAAAGCCCTGGGTGTGGCCCTGGGTATGACGTGACCACCTCTGTGACCCTGGGCAAGTCTCTTCATTGCTCAGAGCTCAGTTTCCCCATGTGAAAAATGGAGGGATCACTGCCCTGCTGTGGTACTTCCCAGCATGGGGGCCCTTCATCAAGGGCCAGATTGCTCTGTTTGAGAGTTCACTGTGTATACCTTGGTCTCTTGACTAATGGACCTATAGCCTTTTAGACCTGGGGACCGAGTCACCTTATTCTTTCCCTGCTCCTTGGAGCTGCAGGCCTGAGCCCAGGAGAAGATGCCATGACTTTGACTAGTTCCGGGAAAAGGCTTATTAGGGGGAGGTGGGCACAGTTGACTCCCAATGGCAATATCTGGTATTTCCTGGACCTGCCTTCTCCCAGTCCATGGAAAATGGGGAGATGGCTCTAGCAGAATGCCCCTGTCTGCCTCCTCTTCTCTCCCTCCTCCTTTTTCTCGGCCCAGTGGTGGGGAGTGCAGGGTTCAGCTGGGCCTGGGGTTTGGGGCCGTTCTGGGGTGGTGGGCCTGTCCTGGGGGGAGCTGGCATGGCTTGCCCTGGGGCTGCTAGTGTGATCGCCGTGTGGCTTTCTGGTGCCCTGGCCCAGCAGGTGGCCTCCCGGATCCCCTCACTTCCGGAGCCCCGGCATGCCATCGGACACCTGTCCCGCCACCTGGAGCTGAGGAATCCAGTCTTCTGGAAATCGGAAGGCTGGAAGGAAGAGCTGGGTCTGTGGGGTGGAAGCGGCCAGGATGGGCTTGAAGGGAAGGCCTGTGGTGAAGCCTGACACTGGGGATATTTGTCTGTGGGACCAGGGGTGGTCAGGACTGGACCCTACCAGAGGGTGTGTATTGATGGTTTTAGAACTACAGCCCCAGAATTGCAGTGCATGTTTGTGTGTGCGTGTGTGTATGAGTGTGTGAGTGTGTGTGTGTGAGTGTGTGTATGTGTGTGTATGTGTGTGTGTATGAGAGAGTGTGTGTGTGAGTGTGTGTATGAGTGTGAGTGTGTGAGTGTGTTTGTGTGTGTGTATGAGTGTGTGTGAGAGTATGATTGTGTGTGTGCTAGATGAGGCGGATTTAGTGTCACAGGTCTAGCCCGCTTTAGGGGGGAGCCTTGCAGCCAGCTGCTCCCAAGCTCAACACCATCTGGGGAGCGGAGTGAGGACCCCTGGGAAATGGGGCTGTTCCGGCGCCCTGCTCTTCAGGTCTGGTGGCTCGTGTGGAGGCCCTGGGCTGAAGGGACCCCTGTCCTGCAGGCGGTGGGGAAGGCCCAGTGCCCACGGTGTGTGAGCCCTGAGAGGGCTACAAAGGGCTCTGAGTGTGGCCCATCATTATCCTAAAGAACACTTGATTACTGTAGGAAGGGGCTGACGAGAGGTTCTGAGGGTGACCCTGACCTCCTGCTGTTCCTGTTGGGCGAAGGCTATGTGTGCACACATGTGTGTGTATACGTGTATGTGTGTGGTGCCTGTGTGCATGTAGAGAGTGGAGCACATAGGCATGGTGGCCCTGAGAGAGAGAGGGCCCTAGAGACAGAAAGGCCTGGGGTTGAGGGTGGGGGAGCAGGCCTATTATTATTATCGGTCAGTCTCCAGGACGTGAGGGAGGGCTGTTCTCTCTCTGACACTGGCTGTCAGCCTGTGGCCAGACGGCCCAGCTTGGCTGGGGAACAATGGGGCTCTCTTCTCTCCCCTCCGCCCAGCTTCATCTCCCCTCCCATAGGGAAAGACAAGAGAGAGGGAACATGGCTCTCCGGGCACTGAGGGGCAGATCTGGGCCTGCCAAGGGGGACAACAGTGAGACACTGTGTTCAAAGAATGTGAGAGGCCCTGGCTGGGCACTGGTGCTGTGGGGCGCTCTGCGGGGGAGGGGCTGTCCCGTGGGAGTGGAATGCGGGGTCTTCCCCTCCTGTAGAGGGAGGCTCCCCTGCAGCGCCCTCGCTCTTTGGAGGTCATTCTGGTTGTCCCTCTGCCTCTGGACAGACCACGCTCCCATGTGCTGCTCTGGGGGCACTGGAGAGGGGCCGGGAAGAGGGGAGATGGCTCTCAGGTGTCCAATAGCCTTCTGTGAGGGTCTCTGCCCTCCACAGTTGGTAAGCCCCTCCAGCAGCCCAGCCTCCCTCCAGGCATTGCAACCACCTGAACATGGAGGTTGTCGCGGGCACACCGGGGCGAAGGTTCTTTGTTCTTCTGGGAAATTCAGTGCCTCCAACAGACCCACTTTCAAGGGCAGACATCAGATCCTACACAGGGAAACGGGCCACTCCTCACCAAGGCACAGGGATCTGCCAGGAAGAGGCTGCGGGGCTGGGCCAGCCGGAACTGAAACCAGCCCTAATGCATTTCTGTTAACCTTGGGGCTGAACTTAGTTCCAAACCCCAAGAGCCTTTTCCAAATGGGCCTCCTTTGTCACAATTATTATTAGAAAATCAATGGCTATGTCTGTTTCTCTCTAATGTTTTTGCCAGGAATGAAACCAGCAGTAGTACTGAACCAAGCGCCCAGGAAGGCTGAGGGGAAGGGGGCTCTGAGGGAGAGAGAGAAGTGCAGCCGAGGGTAGGGGCGCCCGCAGGCATGGTGGGGGGTGCAGGTGGCTGCTCTGAGGGCTGAGGGCCTAACACCCCATCTTTCATCTGGACCCTGGTTAGGATGATGTGATCCCCAAGTTTCTATTCTGAAAGTCAGGGCACTTCAAGGCGAGGAGCTTGTTTTCTTTAAATAAAACAGTTTGTGAGTCCAGATTACAGTCCCCATTTGGGCTCTTTTCTCTTAGTTGAGATGGCAGGTAGGCTGCCCCCTAACGATAAATAGCTCCATGTGGAGACTCAAAACACCACCGGGTACCTTCTGCATTTGTAAGTGTGTGTGCCAGTCCGGCGGCTCTCCAGACGTGGCCCCTAACTATGGGCAAGTATGAGTGTGTGTGTCGGAGTGTGTGTGTGTGTGTGTGTGTGTGTGTGTGTGTGTGTGTGTATGTGCTCCTGTCCCTGGAGTTGGGAGCAGGCAGCCTGCTATTCATGGCAAGTAGGAAGGCTTCCCAGCATGTGCTTCTCATGGCAGCCTCAGCGGCAGTGCCAGACGGGAGCTGGGAGGCTGCCCGTGGTGTGCAGACCCCACTCTGGGTGGTAGATGATCCGATTGCTGCTTGGCTGCACCAGCACATTCCTAGGGGCCAGCAGTGTATGCATGTGTGTGGTGCGTGTACATGTATGTGTGCGTACGTGTATGTGTGAGTGCATGTGTGCCATGGGACAGGGTTCCCAGGTGTGCTGGCATGGGGTTGGTGTGGCCAGGGTCTCAGTCCCATGTGACCTTTGGTAAGTCCCAGCACCTCCCTGCTCTTGGGTGGGGGTGAGGGCAGGGCTGAGAGCTGGCACAAGCTGATCAGGACTAGGAGCCTGGGTCTTGCTCTCTGGGACCCGGGGGGGAGGGGGTGCGTGGTGGGGGTAAGTTTTCTAGGATTCTGAAGCCAGCTCGGTGAGGCAATGTGTTCCGTGCCACAGCCCAACTGTGGGAAGAGAGAGTGGGAAGGAAGGAGGGTGGGGTTAACAACATCCCCAGGCCCGAGGAATGGAAGGAAGAACAGAAAAGCAGATGGAGCTCATGACTCCAGCTCTGCAGGCTGTTCTGCTGGGAGGGGCAGGGTAGGACCCTGGACCATTTTGGGGGCAAGAAAGGGGTGGGTAGCCAAGGACGGGCATAAGGGAAGTTGGTAAGAGGTTTCAGAAGTGCACTGGATGAAGTTGGGGAACCCCGGAGAAGGTCAGCAATATTCCAGGGGCCAGTTTGGGCTGGAGACTTTATAACAAGACTTAGTCATTTCTTTGTTCCTTCTTGGGAGCACCATTTGCAAGATGATGCATTATGCACTCTTTCCAAAAGTTCTTCCCCATGGGCCTGATGTTGCTTGTTGGTTGATCAGTCGCCTTGGAGACTGTCTCTCCTCCCTCCACCTTCCCTCATTTGCCTGGAAGCTCTGGCCCTCTGCCTCCAGGCCTTGGAAGGAGTTGACATCTGTTTCTTGTATCAGTCTTTTGTGTTCTGGGCCCCAACCCTGTGCGGAGTAGATTCCTGGTGAAGGCCAGCCCAACTTAAGCAGGTCTCCCGCCCTGCAGAAAAACCCAGGGTGTGGGCAGAGGGAGGCAGGGGGAGGTGCAGAGGGAGGCAGGCCCAGCTCCAGCATGGCCCCTGAGTGTGCACTGTCTCCTCTGGGGGAATCAGGCCCCATCGATCCTTTCTTGTACAATATGCTCATGGCCCTCTCTGCCCTGCCGTTCCTCCCAGGGGTGCAGGCTCGGGAGAAGCAGCCTGCAGAGCCCCCAGCCCCTCTCCGGAGGCGGGCAGCCAGCGATGGACAGTATGAAAACCAGTCTCCAGAACCCTCATCCCCCCGGAGTCCTGGGGTGCGCTCCCCAGTCCAGTGTGTATCCCCGGAGCTGGCTCTCACAATTGCTCTCAATCCTGGAGGGCGGCCCAAAGAGGTGAGTCCTTAGACCACATGCTAGGGCCACAGAAGGTAGCAGAGCCCATCTGAATGCCCCAGCAACATGATGGTCCACTGGGCAGCACGGACCTGTCAATAACCTAGTAATTGTTTTCCTTTCCGCATCCTCACCCAAGGCTTCAGCATGTGGAACCTGGAGCTCATTTCCTTCCCTAAATAGCTTTTATGTCCTCGCGTCTTCCATTAACATTGAGATTGAGTTCCCTTCTTGACTCCTAAAGAGTTCCCTGAGCAGTTGGTAAGAATGGGGGTGTGACACAGCGACCACAGTCTGTAAACTTCAAAGCAGATCATAGAGTCTGACAAAGTGTTTTTGAGCCCTTTCTAGGTATAGGATTTTCCCTGGAGATCTAACTTCAATGCCCAAACCTTTGCATTGCTGAGACATTTCAGTGGTTTGAGGCATTGGGTCTTAAACTTCAATGTGCATAATGATCACCAGGAGTTAGTTAAAATGTAGATTCCCGAATCCACCTCCAGAGGTTCCGGCGTGTTAACTCTGGGATGGGGAACCTGCATTCTAAACGTGCACTCTGGAAGGTTCTGATGCGAGTAGTCCGTGTCCGATAGAATCCAGGCTGAGTCATTCTGGACATGAATGGCTTTTGGACATCTTTTCTCTCCTGCCTTCTGCTAGGACCCGTGTCCCCTGCCCCCAGCCCTTCACTTCGGCCCTGTTTGAAATATTACCAAAGCAGGTGCTCCTGAAGTCCGCCTGTGCCTTACAAACGGCCTGGCAAAATAACCACTTTCTGTTCTCTTGGCTACAAGGAGTTGTAGGGGCCATGAATTTGGGCAGCATCTGCCTTTGATCTCTGTTCACCTGGTAGGGGTGGAGGGTCAGGTTGGCGAGGGGCTTTATGGCCTGGTTAACTGGGAAATACCTCCTTCTCAAGGTTATGGCCACTAATGTACCCCCTTTCCTCCCCTTGTTTTTCTCCTGCAGCCCCACTTGCACAGCTACAAAGAGGCCTTCGAGGAGATGGAGGGAACCGCTCCATCCAGTCCACCGCCCAGTGGGGGTAAGAGCTCCCCACTAAGCCTGTCTTCCTTGGGTCCCCTCAGGCCCCTCTCAGCCCCTGCTTGTGTAAGCACCCCAGGTTTGGGGTGGGGGGTGCTGGCAAAGTTGAGCAGAGGCACAGTCTGTCCTTAATCACCCTGTGGCTCATTTCACTTCACCTTCCACCCCCATTTCCCTTCTTTTCTGTGGTCCACACCCCCACATCTACAGAGACAGCAGCGACGTAATTAGGGTCCCACTGACTGACATCGGGGCCCCTGGGCTCCTGGGTGTGGAGTTTTTCTAGACGTTGAGACTTTGCGTCCTCCATACAAAACATCCTGTACTCTAAAGTGACTCTTTGTGACAAGCAAGATAACCCTTAACCTTCTTGCTTCTAATGCACATTTCTGTGTGCGTCATTCAGTGTCTGTCAAGGAAAGAAAGGCCCCGCATGCTCAGGCTTACTGAGTCCCATCTCTCCCATCCTTGGCCTTAAGGCGGGAACATTTAGTCTGCACCCCCCGATGCACTCACCAAAGAGGCAAATCCCCAAAGGTCAGAGGGGTTTCCACCCGAAGAGAAGGCTGGATGCGCACAGGAGTGGGACAGTGCTCCTTTTTACGGGGGAAGAGACCGTGCAGAGGAGCTTGGAGAAGCGCTTTGTGGGGAAGCAGAGAAGGAACAACACTGGGCTGTGAAGGCTCCAGGGTTCCCGGGAGAGGCCTGGGTTGGCAGAGGAGGGGGGACTGGTGTTGCTCTGGGATCGGGTTGGCTAGGCTGGGCCCAAGCTATCTATGCATTTGCCCCATGAGAGGGGAGGGGTGTGAGGAGGAGAGCTGGGTGGGCCCTGTGTTCTCCTGGTGGCTGACACCAGAACCAGGCCCTTGCTCCAGTAGAACTTGTGTCGCCTGCTATCTGGGGCATGCGGGAGGCTGACGTCATGACTGGAGGCCATGGCTCTCCCTAGAGCAATGCTGTCCAAAGGAAATATAACACGAGCCACATTTGTTATTTAAACATTTCAAGTAGCCACATTTAAAAAACATACCGAGAAACTGGAGAAATTAAATTTAATGATCTTTTTATTTAACCCCAAATATCCAAAATATTATCATCTCAACAGATAAATCACTATAAAAATAGTAATGAGGTATTTTTCAATCTCTAAAAAATATAAAAAGAAACCAGTGAAATGAATTTTAATAATAGATTTTATTTAACCCCAGTGATCTAAAATATTATCATTTCAACATGGAATGGTAAATATTGAGATATTTTGTGCTCCTGTTTCACACCAAATCTATGAAATCTGTGTGTTACAGCTCTCGGTTCAGACTGGTCACATTGCAAGTTCTCCGTAGCCCCATGTGGCTCATGGCAACCCTATTGGACAGTACAAGCCCTGGGCAATCTACTCAAGAGGCAGCTCTGTGGCCTTTTATGATTCCGTGGAGTCTCTCCCTGGCCTTACCCTTCACCTTCACACCTACTCTAATTCCCTATCGGTCCGAATAGCCAAGATCTTGGCCATCCTCCTGTTTGGGACGGAAGCCCTGTGGGCTGAGCTTGGGTTGGGTTTTACACTTGTTCACGCTCCCAGTTTTTCTCTTTCTCCCCTTGGTCAGTCCTGGGTGCCCTGGAGGGGTAGGGGAGAGTAAGTTAGAGGTTTCATCCATGCACAGGGCTGGGAGAGAGGGCAGAGGCGGAGAAATGCAAGGAATTTTCCCTGAAGCAAAAGCTTTGCCTGGCTTTAGGGCCACCCACTTGTCCGCCTCAGAGAAGGGCCAGGTCCTGCAGACTGGGGACATGAACAAGTAGGGAGCTGGAGATGCTGAGGGGAAACGAGAGAAACCTCCTATACTATGGGCCTGGAGAGCCTTCATGGTTCTTCGTGGCCTCTGAAGCTGGGCATTGAAATCCATTGTGTGACAAACATTAATATGTGCTGATAAGGGTCTATGGCAAGACACTTCTGTGTATGTGTGTAAAGGGAGAGGGCGGGACCAACAGTCACCACACCTAGACCTTCCCAATGCCCGGCTGTGTGTTTGTACACAGCTGTCCCCTCTGCTGTATTTATCTTTTTGGCATCTGAGGACAAAGTGAGGTGGAGGGCAGGAGTGGGCTGCCCACTGGAGCCCTGTGGTGTCTCGTTATTTTCACAGACACGTACCTACACACCTGCCAACACACAGAAGTTATGTAGGTTACTTGCCCAGAGATTGTATTTTTTGTTGATTTCCTGTAGGTCTCACTGTCTTTTGGGGAAGGTAGATGGGGCCAGAGAGAGTCCCAGAGCTGCTTTGAGGGACAGCTGAGGGCCACAGCTAGTCTGTTGAGGCTGTGGGTGCAGGGTAGGCCGCCTCGGCTGGCGGATCTGTGTGGCTGCGTGTCCTCAGAGCTCATGTTTTCTGCAGGCTCCTGATGACCGGGATAGCAGAAACAGAGCTCTTTTTTTTTTTGCTTCTCTTTGGAGATGTGTTAGGATACATGGCAGCCACCATTGAAAAATCTCGTGACTGGGTGTAACAATCTCTCTGTAGATCAGCTTAGAGTCTGGCCTCTTCCTTGGCTGGTGGGACAAAGCCTGGCAGCCCTTTCTGACCTTGTGTGTTATGTGACACTTCTGACCTGGACATGTGGCTTGGGAGGGACCTGAGGTTAGTGCAGGGAGTTGGTGCTCTGGCCCGAGGATTGTGGAGATTGGGCTTCTCCCTCTTCTACAACACTGAGGTTTTGGGGAATAGAGGGCCCCATGCTGAGAAATTCTGCCTGGAGTGTGCAAAGGACATGCTTGGTTGCGAGTCAAAGACCTTTGACTGCCACTGGCCTGGGCTCTCAGGGTTGGCATGGTTCCACTGACCCCTTCTCCTCCATCTGTCCATGACAGGATGTGCCCTCTGGATGCTCCATTTTCTTTTGTTCTCTAAATCCATCTAAGTGCCTGGCTTAGAAAGACTATTTGTGGGGGAAGAGGAGGAGGAAGAGGGAATAACATATGGGAAAAATCAGAGATAGCCAAAGAAACCTGCATGTATGTTAAACCATGGCATGTAAAGGGACTATAGTGAAGAAACTAAGGGCCTAGGGAAAGGAAGGATTTTCTCAAGGTAGAGAGGCAAGGCCAGGACAAGGACACCATATCCCGACTCAGTTCACCTTCAAACTGCAGAGAAACACCCAGACAGGGAAGGTCAGTGGAGCCGCAGCAGTGCGCTCCTGGGCTGGGACTGGTTCCTCTGTTCCCGCTCCTGTGGCCCATTCCTCCCCAATAAGCCCTCACCAATGGGTACCCTCCCTCCCGCCCCCTCCCCTACACCTCCCGACTCACTCCCCATGCCTCCCCTCTTCTTTCCCCGCACAGTGCGCTCCCCTCCAGGTCTGGCCAAGACACCCCTGTCTGCTCTGGGCCTGAAACCCCACAACCCAGCAGATATCCTGTTGCATCCCAAGGGCGGTGAGTGGCTGTGGCTGGAAGGGAGATGGTGGGGAGGCCAGAAGGAGGAGTGGGGACTCGGAGGGCCCCTGTGGTCCTGGGCAGGGCCCAGAGGTGGTGGGTTATCCAGACCTTCCTGGAAACAAGTTGGCAGCTTGGGTTGTGCCCATGCTGAGGCCATGATTGAGGGGGGGGGATCCCTTTGCAGCCTTCCTGCCCATTGACTTGTGGGGTCAGCACCACTCCCAACGCCCTCTGACTTGGGGATTTGAGGCCTGGCCTCGGTTTCCTTGGAGTTGGTCAGCTCTCTGCCAGAAGCCAGGCTGACCCGTGCCCCGGTGTTCAGACACTCGTGTACACATACACATGTGCACACACATGCAGACATGCCCACACACACTCATACCAGGCTCACACCTCCCACTTCCTCGTCACATCTCCCTGCTCCTCTCCTTCCTGTGGGGGAAGGAGAAAGTGGGGGCCCTGGGCCCTCAGTGGCCATTTCCAGCACGCTGAGTCCAGAACTTGCTCTCTAGACTCGGGTGTTAGGGCTGGGCTGGGACTCTGGGGCCAACGTGGCTTCTTTTCTTTAGTCACCAGAAGACTGATCCTGCCAGGTAGGAGCGCAATGGCATGTGTGTGTGACCCACAGATACACAGCCTGGCACAGCCTCCCACTCAGGAGGTTCTGCATGGCCAGGGACACAGTCACAGGAGAAGAGGAGGTGGGGCGGCCTCTCACCAGGCCAGGACACCCTTGCTTGAGACCCAGCCTGAGAGAGCCCTGGGCAGCGGCTGTGACAGGGGTGGCTTGGACTTAGAGCCATGGGGGCCGGGCCTGCAGCTCCTGGGAGCCAGGCCCTCTTTACACTGTGTGCCCCGAGCACCTTGCCACCATGCCCAGGTACCCTGGAACCCGGGTCCTGTCAGGGTGGACCTCACCCCTCCCCTCGGGGCACTTCTGTGGAGAGCCACCGCTGCCCTAGCCTCACCTCTGCTTTCCCACCTCCCTTTTCTCAGCTAATTCTCTCTCAAGAAGTAAGCTCTGTTAATTGATCTTTCTCTCCCTTTTGCTCTCCCTCTCCTCTTCATCGCCTGCCTCTCTTTCCTCCCACCTCTCTTCTCATCTTCCCCAGAGGAGGATGGGGGGCAGGAGGTGATGGAGCCGTCAGGAGGTAAGTGCTGGCTTGCTGTGTGCTGCTTCCCGCTGTCCGGGTCTGGGAATGGCTTTTCACACAGAGCTGGCTGGCTGGTTGGGGGCAGCCCTTTGCTGACCACGTCTCAAGGGACCAGGCAAATAGCCTCCTGGTCCCTACTCCCTGGTGATGAGCTGTCCCCCCGAAACTGCCTGAGCCCTGACTGAGGAGCTCGTGGCTCAGGTTCAGGCGCGGCCAGTGCCCAGGTGCCTTGCTGACAAAACACTCCCTGTCACTGCCACCCCAGTGGCATTTCTGCCAGCCTCCTGGGATACAGCAAGCCCCTTTGGAGGGCGAGGAGACTCACACAGGGCAGGGGCTCATTATTCCATTTCCTGGGTGTACTCCGCATGCAGAGCTTGGAACAGGGGTTTCAACCTTCGCACTACTGACATTGGGGGCCGGATGATTCTCAGTTGTGGGGCTGCCCTGTGCATTGTGGGATGTTTAGAATCATCCCTGCCTCTGCCTGGTGCCAGTAGCACCCACCTACTCATGATAATTAAAATGTCTCCAACATTGCAAGTGTCCCCTAAGGGGACAGTCACCCCTTGGAACCACTGTCTTAGAGCCATGAGTTGACCTCTTGAAGCTCTTGCCTGGTTTCTTATCAATACAAATTGTAGGAGGTCTATTTCTCTGGGATTTTGATGCCTTTGGGGATTTCAGAAAAGCTATGGACCCACCCCTGTGCATCTGGATACCGTACGCATAATGTTGGCGGTTTCAAGGCGTTAGCGTGTCTGTGTTTCCACCTAACCCTAATTTAGATGAACTCCACATTGTACATGGGGAAGCAGAAAGGGGATGCAGTCTGGTTGAAAGCCTTTACGTTATTAGGAACAGAGTTCAAATGATGACTCAGCAGCAGGTGAAACACAGGGGGGTCCTAGCCTGGGTGGCCTGGGTATGGTTTGGTGGCACCTGGTATGGTCAGGCCATCTCCACCAGGGGGGCTTATATGAGTGTAGAAGCACCTTCCAGGTTGACATGTTAGATGTTCTGACTTACCACTGGGACCCTAGGTCCCTGTGGCCTAGTTTTCTTGAACCCACTTCTGCTTTCCTTTGCACTTACCGCCTTGATACTCTACCCCCAAAGCGGGCATGCGCTGTGCTGCTCTGAATCTGTCATCCCCCAGGCAAGATGGCTGGAGATTCCATAAAGTTTTGCCCACTTTCAGCCGGAGTTTGGGCAGCCACGCCAGGCTGCCTGGAGGTTTCAGAACAAGGCACCCCAGCAACCGATCCCAGAGTGGGGTGAGCTGCAGCTTGCTCCTGGCTGCTGGTTCCCGACAGGCAGGGAAGCCGGGACAGGAGTGTAGAGTAAGCTTGGCCCCGGAGCCAGCGGCCGTGCCTTTCAGATGCCCACCCACGCTCTCCTCGTGGTTGCTGACTCCAACAGACTGGTGGGCCCTCAAGCCCTCTCCCGTGGGAAGGTTTGAGGGGGACTATCCCGCAGGCTGACAGGCCCTGGCTCTTTTCCACTTTGGGATGACATTTCAGAGGAGTGAGTATCTAAAATACCGAGCTGAGACCTGCCCATTGTCTACATGCATGACTCTCACCTACAAGGCCTCCAGTCCCCCCTCCCCTGCTTCCATCTGTCCTTAAGCCACAGAGTTAGGAGGGGAAGGTTCTTAGGGATCAGCTCTGCCACACCCATCATTTCACAGCTGTGGAGCTGAGGTGTTGCTTGTGGGGACGGTGGGGGCATCTACCCCAGGCCACAGTTAGGAGGCAGTGGGGCTGAGAGTGGAAATATCTCCTGTCTCCTAGTCAAGTGGCCATTTCAAAGCCCTCCTCCTGCATCCAGGCACGGCGCCCTGGGAGTGCAGCGTGGGGGTTGGAATTGCTGCCATGGCCTGAGGAGTCGGGTGGGTCGGGCAGGGAGCTAGGCTGTGGGCAGCCAGTTTCATTTTTCCTGACTCATGTACTGCCTCCCGGTCAGACGAAAGCACATTCCTTGCTGACCCTCTGAAACTCTGCTTTCCCTGCTGACACTTTGATGGGAAAAAAAAAATGCCTGTGAGAAAAGTGGTCAGAGGCAGAATTACTCAGCCAGGGGAAAGAAAGACTTCAGGGGACTCTGCTCCATTCAAGGCACCATGCTAAATGCTCCTATTAATTTATCCTGCCATTCATTGATTCAGTTAGTCAATACATATTTTGTGTGCTTACTGTGGGACAGGCCCTGTGCCAGGCTTCGGGGATATAGTGGTTCCTAATCCTCATGGAGCATATGCATGAACAGGAGCCAGAATGAAATGATCACTCAGAATTACATATCGAGGTCAGTGCTCTGAAAGGGAAGGGATGAAGTTTTATGTGACCTTACAGCAAAGACCCTGATCTTGGCTGAAGAAGTGAGATGTGAGAGTGAGTGACATTAACTTGGTGGAACTGGGCTGGAAGGAGAGCATTCCACGTAGAGGCAAAGGGCATGTGCAAAGGCCCTGGGGTGGGAGTCAACAGCATGTTTTTTGTAGGAACTACAAAGTCAGTGAGGCTGAGAGCAAGGGGGAGCTGCAGGCTGGAATTAGGGGATACCAGGGGGACTGGTGTAGAGTGGGGTTCAGCAGGCAGGGACAAGGCTGTGTAGGGTCACTTCACATCTTGTTTGATAATCACAGAAACACTGAGGAGAAGGTGCTAGGAACCCCATTTTACAGGTGAGGAGATGACATTTGGGGATGTTAGATGACTTGTCTAGGCCCACACATCAGTCAGGTACAGCTGGGATCCTACATTGGATCAGCATGTGGATGATGTCCCTTTCCATGTGGTTGCCATGGGCACAACCTCTGAACATAAACAGTGACTTTACTGGGCATGGGGACTGGGTACTCTTTCATGAAGAAAGGAGAGGAAGAAAGCCTTTAGCAATGAAGACATGAGGCCAACATCCAGAGTATATACTCAATGACACAGGGAGGAAATATATTCTCAGTGACACAGGGAGGAAAGGAAAGGGGGCGTTCAGGTTAGGTTCGGCTCCTCCAGAGGATTAGAGGGCACTGGTTTTGCATAAAGGAAGACACATGGGTCTAGAAATGTCCCCTCCTGGGATTCTTCCTGCTCTGAGATCCTTGGTGCTGGGTGTTCTGTGGCACCTGGGATTTTGGGGCAGGGCTGTGGGATGCAGACTTATTGAGCACTTACTATGTGCCAGGTCCTGTCCGAGGCACTGAGGGTATAAAGACAGGTGAGATTTCAGCATCAGGTGGGATGCTGAGTGGGGTAGGGCTGGGGTGTAATGGGAGCTCAGAGGAGTAGCATGTGGCCCAATCAAAAAGGTCTGAAATTCTGACTTTTGAGCTTCTGGATTGGGACTTGGGGGTCTCTTTACTTCCTCCCTCTCCCCCACCCACAAGTCTTCATTTACTTGGAGTGGACAGGCGCCTCCTGTCCAGGCAAAGAGCCTCTCCTGGGAGGCAGAGAATGCACTTTAGGGTGTGGGCAAAGAGGCGACAGTCCCTCAGCCTGGTAGGGCCAAGTCCCTCTTGGGTCTCCAGCTGCTCTCAGCCGCCAACAGCCACTTGGAATGGGTTTGGTCTCCTGGAATGTTCTACATGAAGCACCCTCCCTGGCCCCACCTCTCCCCCCTGCTGCCCAACCCTGTTGCCTCTGGGTGCAGCTGCCCCAGGATTGGAGGAGAGAAGGGAAGCAGCAGGAGAGAGGGTGGAGGGATGCAGGCGCAGGCCCAGTTGGGGCTTCAGGCCCGGCAGGGGCACAGGCTAGCAATGGTGGTTCAGAGTGTAAACAGCTAATTGGAGTCACCAAGAAAGAATTAGAAGGAACTCCTATCACTTGATCCTGGCTGGGCAGGTGCGTATTCTCATTCCCATGTTACAGATGAGGAAACGGAGACCCAGAAAGGTTCAGCAGCCTCTCCCAGGTCACCCATACAACAAGTGAGCCCATGCAGTAGTCATGGCTGAGTGGTTAAGGCAGTGGACTAGAAAAATGGGAGCCCACAAGTTGTACATGGTACTGAGGTGGGGTGGGGCAGGAATAGACAGGAAAAGGAGGAATTTTCAGTATAGAAATCTGCGTCTGAAAACTTGGAAAAACTGAGTTTTTGGCCTAAAAGGTTGGTTTTGAATAGTTCTTGAGATGGACTCAGAAAATCAAATAACTTCCTCAAATCCCACTTGCTCTGGGTTCCTGAGGAGCGGAGATTGAGCAAAGGGACTTCACCGAGGTCTACATGGACCCGGGGGGCATTGCTGGCGGGAGAAGAGCACACGCTTCAGAGGTCATGTGGGTTTTAGCTTGAGCTTTGCGGTCAACAAGACTTCCAGGGAATGAGAAAAATGAATGTGTGCCTCTTAGATCTTAGTTATGACGCACTTTCGTCTGGGTAGGGCTGGAAGGTAGAGACCATGCATCTGCTAGTTTGTGGGACAGAGACGTATCTAGGGCCTACTAGGTGTCAGGCACTGCACAAGGGGGCGGATGGGTCCTCCGGCCGTCTCTGGGTGGGAGAGAAGTGTGCCGAGTGCTGTGGGGACCCTGGTGAGGCTGGGAGCCTGGAAGGGTTCAGGAGGAATTTTCAGAAAGAGTGACCTCAGGCAGTGAGGAATGGTGGGGAGGGTGTGAGCCCCCCTTCTGCCAAGCTGGGTTACCCCAGGACACAGAGCCAGCCTCCAAGGCTAAAGATACACTGAAATTATCAACTCCCCAATTTTCAGCTGGCCATATGTGCAGTGGGCCAGAGAGCAGGCTCTGGGCCAGACCACCTGGTTCCCCAGACCACCTGGTTCCCACTTGCCTCTGTATGACTTGGGCAAGATACTTACATTCCCCAAATCCTACTTTCTTCATATATTGTTTGCTATTATTATTATTATTATTATTATTATTATTTTGTTAATCCTCTCTGGAGGATATTTCTTCAATAATTTTTAGAGAGAGTGGAAGGGACGAAGGGAGGAGGGGGAGAGAGAGAGAGAGAGAGAGAGAGAAACATCAATGTAAGAGAGACACATTGATTGGTTGCCTCGTGCATGTGCCCCAGTGGGGATTGAACATGCAACCCAGGTACATGCTGTTGACCCAAAATCGAACCCGTGACCCTTCAGTGTGTGGGCCAGTGCTCTAACCACTGAGAAACACCAGCCAGGACTATTTTTATCATTATTAATAGCCCTGTGGCGTTGACCCTTCTCTGGGTAATGGGTTGGAGTTCTGGGTAGCAGCCAGTTCTGGGTGCCCCCATGAGACTGTGGCCCCTCTCTAGGCCACCCTGAGCCACCAATGAGATCAGGAGGCCATGGTGCTAGTATCCACAACCACTAATTGGCTGTGTTCTGGGACAAATCGCTACACCTCTCTGGGCTGAGGAGATGGGTTAGACCAGAGGTAAGCAAACTTGGTCAAATCTGGTCTACCATCTATTTTTGTAAGACAGTTTTATTGCAACTCAAACACGCTCATTGGTTTATGTGCTGTTGCCACAGCTGCTCTCACTCTGCAATAGTGAATTGAGTAGTTGTGTCAGAGGCTGTCCGACCACCAAGCCTAACATATTTACTACCAGGTCCTTTATAAGAAAGTGCGCCTGCCCTGGGGTCAGAAGATCTCAGTGGCATCTCCTGGTTCCAGTAGGGCCTTGGGCACAGATGGCACAGCACCAATGCCTTGGGAATGGATGTGGCCTGGGGCTTCTGTGAAGTGGGCGGGTGGCCTGGGCTGGTTGAGTGGGGTCTTGAGGATGCCTTGCTGACTCCTGCCCAGATGGACTTTAGCTGTGAGTGCCGAGGTGGCTGGGGCTACATCACCCTGCACCCCGTACCTGGAATAGATTGCTCCGAGCTGTCCCTTTGCAGACATCCTGCCCCACCCCCATCCACTGCCCCTGCTGTTGGTTGGAGGGAACTCTGTGAAAACTAGGACCTGCTGGCAGCCTCTGGCTGGAGTTGCCCACAGAGCTCCCAGACCCTGGGCCTGGATGCAATGTCAGATCTTGAGGTCACTTCAGAAGCCACGCCCAGGAGCCCCTAACGCCGTGGTCATTAGGCTCCTTCCAAAGTAGTGTTTTCTTTGGGCCAAGGGAAGGGCTGTTCTGACTCAGTGATCAGCACAGTCCTGGCCACAAAGGCACCGGGGCCTGGCCGGCCGGGATGCACAGGGCTAGTTTCAGCAGATGCCAGCACTGTGGGCAGAGGGTGGGTCTGTGCTCAGTCACATCCCTCCTGAGGGAGATGGGACCCCGTGCCAGGTTTGGAGGTGGAGGATGTCATCCATCCTTCATCAGGTCCCTGGAGAAGCCCAGGGCGTCCTGCTGCTTCTCCCTGCTTAATATCGAGTTAGTTTGGGGCTGGCCTCAGAGGGAGGAGTTGGATGAGCCCTGGCCAGGCCTCCCGACATTTCACTCTCCAGGCCTCAGGGTCCTCATCTGTGAGATGACCTTTCTGGGCCTTGTCCCTCCACCCCCTTCCTCTTAGGATATTCTGAACACCACGCGGGGATGATGGTGTCAGCCTCGGGAGGAATGTGAAGTGTGTCAGGCAGGAGGCTGGGTGTGCTTGGCATGAAGGGGCTGGGCGTGACTCACCGGCGCAGGCCTGCTGCTAGGACAGCAAGCCCGTCTCGGGATCCTGGGTGTGGGGTGAAGCCCATGTAAGCCCTGGTGCTGTCCGATAGGGGCAAGGCCGGCTGGAGCTCTAGGTCCACAGAGAGCCCAGACTCCAATGGTGCCTGGAGTACCTAGAAGGGCCTGGGGGCTGGGGACAGAGTCGTGAAAGAAAAGAAGCAGCTGAGAGGGATGCCAGCTGTGGATGGACATGCTGGCTCTGGGAGGGAAGAGTCTGAAGTGGCCGCATTGGGAGGCAGAGCTGGGGTCCCTTTCCTGGGAGGTCTGAGCGAGGCCATGGAAAGGTTCTGTGGGGCTCCCACAGCTTCTCCAAGATGCGGAAGAGGGCTGGGCATGGGCTGGCAGGAGCCCCAGAAGTGCCCTTTGTGTGCTTGGCTATCCCCAAGGCTGGACTCTGGAGAGGTGGGCGCCCTGGCAGTTTGGATGGGGTCCACATGGCACCCTATGGATCTGTGCTCAGTCTGTGTCTCCTTGCTGCTTCCAGAGCCCCGGAGCTACGTCGAGTCGGTGGTGCGGACGGCAGTGGCTGGGCCCCGATCTCAGGACCCTGAGCCCAAGAGCTTTAGCGCCCCAGCTGCCCAGGCCTATGGCCACGACACACCCCTGAGGAACGGGACCCTGGGCGGCTCCTTTGTCTCCCCTAGCCCCCTCTCCACCAGCAGCCCCATCCTCAGCGCTGACAGGTAAGTGGGGAGGAGGAGCATGGGGGGGGGGGTGAGAATCCAGGCCTGGACCAGCATGGGTGAGGCCTCTCGTATCTGCTCAGGGTGTGGACAGGCAGAAATAACATCCAGATGCTGTCCCTGGGAAACCAGCTCCTCAGGGCACCTTGAGAGAGCATCCCCCAAGTGCCACATCCGTGGGCAGCTATAATCCCCAGGCTGAGCTCAAGCCCACCACCCAGAACTGTGCTGGAAGGGATGGGGGTATGGAGGTGAACCAGGCGGGGTCGCTCCCCCAAGGTTAAAACCCAGCAGCAGCAATCGCTAGGTAGAGCATGCTTCCTATGGCCAGGCACTTGGCTAAATGTGTCCTGTGGCTATTTTATTTAATCTTCACAGCAATCCTATGAGGTAAGTACTATTATCGCTCCCACTTTCCAGAAGAGGAAACTGAGGCACAGAGCGGTGGAGTAGCTTGCTCACAGTCCTGCAGCTCAGCAGTAGCAGAAATAGGACTCAGACCCAAGGCCTCTGGTTGGGAGCCCACATCCCTGCCTCCTGACCAGACCTGGGTACGGTGCCCATCAGTCAGAGGTGCCCAAAGCAGGCGCATAAGTAAAGTTCTCAGAGCCCAGAGCAGGGGTCCGTGACTTCTGACTAGGGGTGCAGGGAGGATTTCTGGGGCTGGATGAGCATGGTGTTAAAAGGTGAGGCGGGAGGGAGAGGGCTTTTCTAGAAGGACGGCACAGCCAGAATTCTTAGAATTCTAAGAATTCTAAACCCTCGAGCCCAGCATGCCCCACCCTCAGTCCACCTTGCCCCTCCTGTCTCCTGCTGGGGCAGACGGCTCCATTTCTCAGACGGTCTGCCTTGGGCAGAGGTATATGGTCTTCTTTGAAAGGAAGCGGGGGCCAGGGGGTGGGGGGCACGTCTTCCTCACCTCAGCCACTGTTGCTGGCGTTCGGAAAGCCCTGCCGTTAAGAAGTTTCCACTCACATGCCTCCGGCTGTGATCTTGGCTCTTTTCGGGGCTCAGGAAGCTAGCGTTTTCCCTCCGGGACTGATCTTCCAAAACTCCTGTCCCACTCAGCCTGACACATCCTCCCCGCCTCAGAATACAGATTATTCCTTCCAGAAGTTGGGAGGGAAGATCCTGAGGTGGCCGCATTGGGAGGCAGAGCTTGGGTCTCTGCTTCTTTCTTCCAATCTGGCCCCTTCTGCAATGGGAGGTAGACGTTGTCCTGGTCTAACCCCTGACTTCACCTGGCCCTTGGCTCTTGCCTGGCCCCCCACCTCACATCACCCAGGAGACCTGAGTTTATCCGACCGGTTCACAGTGGGCTGGCCGCCTGGAGAATCCTCCCAGTCGCCAGCTCCAGGCTTTGGCCCATCGTCTTCCTAAGGGGTTCCTCCTCCCCCTGGGCCTCCTGGTGCAGAGCCTGCCTGCCACCACCCTGCAGCTGCTGCTCAGGCGAAGTCCCTGCCAACCTTCGTCTCTCCTGCCATGTCATCGAGGGATGGAAGTTTGTATCTGGAAAGAATCAGGGTCATCTCACCCAACCCCCTTATTTTTTTCATATGGGAAAACTTGAACAGCAGAATCCAAGTTTCCCAACTCAGAGGCCATTGCGTTATATTTCCCTTTGGTCTAGTACTTAACTTCAGAGGAGAACCTTTGATTGTGGCCGTTCCCCCAGGCACACTCTCCTCCGAACGGAATTTTATCAGTCTTAGAATTGGGTTCGACCTCTGAGCTCTCCTAATCTAACCTTCCAATGGAAGATATTCCGTTCACAACAGTCATGTCAAGAGGTTAGTTAGCCTTTGCTTAAATGCTCCTAGTGATGGGAGTCTCATTACTGTGCAAGGCAGCTCGCTCTGTTACTGGCCAGATCCAATGGCTGGAGAGCAGACCTTATAATGAGCTGAAATCTCCCTCGATAAGACTTCCTTATTTTTGGTTTTTGGAGCTACCCAGGAATGAAAGCACAATTCTGACACCCACAACATTTGCAGGTAATGATGGCGCGCACCTGGGGAAACCGAATCAGGGTGGGACATTTTCAGTGGGAACGGGATCCCGGTGGTTTGGCCCCCTCTCCAGTGTTCAGTTTCTGTGATATGGAGTTGACAAGGAGTCACCTACAGTTCTTTTATTTTAATGTCATTGTATTTATTGGGGTGACATTGGTTAATAAAATTATATAGGTTTCAGGTGTACAATTCTATAATTCATCATCTGTATGTTGTATTGTGTCCTTCCTTCACCATGCATTCCTTTACCCTCTTCTACTCCTCCCATCCCCCTTTCCCTCTGGTAATCCCCAAACTGTAGTCTGTGTCTATGAGTTTTTCCTCCTTGGTTTAATCCCTTCACCTTTTTCACCCAGCCCTCCTTCACCCCCCCCCCCCCAACAGCTGTCAGTCTGTTCTCTATCTAGAAGCCTGTTTCTATTTTGTTAGTTTATTTTGTTCATTAGACCCAGTCACCTTCAGTTTCGATGGAAGAGAGCTCCTCGCTTTGACTTTGGTTCAGGAGCCAGAGTAGTACAGCGGGGAAAACATGTGCTTTGGAATCAGACACAGCTGACTCGAAACCCTGGTCTTTTATGAGCCGTGTGATCCTGAGCCAATTGCTTAACCTATCTGAGCCTCAGTTTCTTCCGATGGTGCCACAGGGTGATGTAAAAGCCTTGACATTCCCATGCGTGCAAGTGGAACCCACTGCTGTTGCTAGTGGTGGGAGGGAAGTCTGAGTGCTCACTGAAACCTGTTCTTCATTAAGTACATTTGCTGACATCTCAATCCGCTCTTTCTCTCTCTAGCACTTCGGTGGGGAGTTTCCCATCGGGGGAGAGCAGTGACCAGGGCCCCCGGACACCCACCCAGCCTCTGCTGGATTCTGGCTTCCGCTCTGGCAGCCTGGGCCAGCCCAGCCCTTCGGCTCAGAGAAGCTACCAGAGTTCTTCTCCTCTTCCAACCGTGGGCAGCAGCTACAGCAGCCCCGACTACTCACTTCAGCAGTTCAGCTCCCCAGAAAGCCAGGCCCGGCCTCAGTTCAATGCGGCTGGTGTCCACGCGGTCCCTGGGAGCCCTCAAGCACGCCACAGGACAGTGGGCACCAACACTCCCTCCAGTCCCGGCTTTGGCCGCCGAGCTGTCAACCCTGGCATGGCTGCCCCCAGCAGCCCCAGTTTGAGCCATCGCCAGGTGATGGGCCCGCCAGCAACTGGTTTCCATGGCAATGTGGTTTCCAGCCCCCAGAGCAGTGCAGTGACCACTCCAGGAAGCCCCAGCCTGGGCCGGCACCCTGGGGCCCACCAGGCCTCAGGCCTCCATGGCAGTGTGGCTGTCACTCCAGGGAGCCCCAGCCGCGGCCAGCAGCCGGGGGCCCTCCAGGCCTCAGGCCTCCCTGGTAATGTGGCCACCACTCCAGGGAGCCCCAGCCTGGGCCGGCATCCTGGAGCCCACCAGGGCAACTTGGCCTCCAATCTCCATGGCAACACAATATCCAGCCCCGGAAGCCCCATCCTGGGCCGTCATCTCGGAGCATCTGGATCCGTGGTTCCTGGCAGCCCCAGCTTAGATCGGCACGTGGCCTATGGCGGCTACTCCACCCCTGAGGACCGGAGACCCACGCTGTCCCGGCAGAGCAGTGCCTCTGGTTACCAGGCTCCTTCCACGCCCTCCTTCCCCGTGTCTCCTGCCTACTACCCGGGCCTGAGCAGCCCCGCCACCTCCCCTTCGCCAGATTCAGCAGCCTTCCGGCAAGGGAGTCCAACACCGGCCTTGCCAGAGAAGTGGAGGATGTCCATGGGAGACCGAGTGGGCAGCCTCCCCAACTATGCCACCATCAATGGGAAGGTGTCGTCCTCACCTGTCGCCAGTGGCATGTCCAGTCCCAGTGGAGGCAGCACTGTCTCCTTCTCGCACACTCTGCCTGACTTCTCCAAGTACTCCATGCCAGGTGGGCCTCTCCTTCACCTCTGCGTCTCCTGCTGACAGGTTAAGTCCATCAGCTGGGATATCTGAACTGCTCTCTGTTCTGGCATCCTCCTGGCAGACAGCCGTGGGTGGATCACTGGCCGTGGGCCTCAGTTGCCTTATCTGTTTAATGGGATTTGGAGGTGTCCTCAAAAGAATTGTGCTATGGTTGTGGTGACTGTGGGGGCAGGGATGAAGCTGCTGATGATGATGAGGATGGTGAAAATAATAATAATGACAGTGTTATTGTTCCGATTACCAGAGCCACTCCCACTTGTTGAGCACATGCTGTGCGCCAGGCTCTGAGCTAAGCAGTCTCTTTCATCCTCACAGCCACACATGAGGAAACGGGCTTGGAGAGCTCAGTCATTTGTCCAGAGTCAGACAGTTAAGAAATGGCAGGGCCAGGCTGCCAATCCAGTCCCATACTACCCAAACTAGTGCTTCTAAAACATTGGAGTTGTTGGATCATGCTTCCCTATCTTGAGGGTTATGGTGATTTAGCATAACCTTGACACTCTGCCTTCCAAACCTGGACCCCAAACCTTTTGCCAGCCCTTTGTTCTCATCTTTGGGTCCCCACTGTGCACACATAACTAATAATAGATCTGGCAGCCAGATGTGATATGGGCCAAGGCCAGGGCATTTCACTGGAGTCTAGTTTCTGCCAGCTTCACTGAAGCCTGTGCAGGTTTGCACACTGAATTCTTCACTCGTCACCAGAACTCGGCCTCTTGGCTTCCACTGAGAGGGCTCATTATCCAGACACAGAGGTCAAAGCCTCAGCTAATACGTAGCTTCTCATCCAGACCTGGAACGTGCCTGTATGCAGAGGACCCCAGGGCCCTGAGGCATTCAAGGAAGATCGGGAATGTTTTGGGCAGCCTGGAATGGGCCCCAGCTGCCTGGATTCTCAACGTGTCACTCCTGGGTCCTGCCCTGAGCCTGCCAAGCCAGGACTCTGCAGCGACCCTGCACGCCCCTACTTCCTGCTGCCCACAAGAGACATCTGGTTCCCAGCTCCTCTCCTTGGAGGATGCAAAACTTCTAGTAGTTGGGACATTTCCTGTTTCCCACCATCTTCCCTGCTTAAAATAGCCATTGGAGTCAACACAGGAAGGCACATGGGGCTGCAGCCGCCTCTGACAGCTCATTAGACAGGCCCAGCACCAGCGGCTGGGGCTTCAGAGCAGAGAAAGGCAGCTTGCAACAGTTGCACGGCCCAGCTGGCTAGCCTAGAGGCCTCCTCCAGGGCACAGCTCAGGAGAGGGAGCTGATCTAGCCCCTCACTGTCCTCCAGAGACAGGTCCCAGGAGCCTACCAGAGTGTAAGTGACAGGTTGAAATTGACTAAGCACTGGACACATAACCCACCCCTGTCCCTGGTCTGGATGCTCTGAGCTTTACCGCATCACTAACACAGCCTCCCTCTGCTCTGCCTCTCTCTCAAGAAAGGAGAGGAAACATGTACAATTGGAATATTCCTTTCCCCTCCTCACCCATCCCCCTTTTGGTTTCCTTTTGTTCCCAAAGATAAAGGAAGAGGTTGGGGAGCGCGGGGCACACAAGCTAATACCTAGCAGAAAACTATGGTGTAGCCGGCACTGAACTGGCTGCTGGGTCTTCTCACCCGGGAAGGTCTAACAGGAGAAGGTCTATTACCATGGAAAGGCTCACATATGGGGTTGGGAAGCTCACTCACCTTCTCTGAAACTCACTTTCCTCATTTTAGAGTTAGGAGGTTGGACTAGGTGCTCTCAGAGGGCCTTCTAGAACCTATTGTTCTGTGAAATCATCCCGGGTCTGCAGAGGGTCTGGGAGTGGGAGCATCTGCCAGAGAAGTGGGGTATGTAACACACGAGATGGCTTCCAAATTCTAGGCCAGCCCCTCCCCTGTTTGTTCTAGAGCAGGAGTGATGCCTTTGCCCTCTATGATACAGAACTCAGGCTTTCCACATGGGAATGAGGAGGAGGTTGGGGAGAAGTGGAACGAAATGGTCTTTCTGACCAGTTCTCAAGGTTGTTACGATAAAGTTGGGACGTTGAGCCTGTGGAGAAAGGGACTAGAGCTGGATGTCTTATACTGTGGGGAAGAAGCTGCAAGAAGGGTCTAGTCTGAATCTTCTAGAGAAAGGAGATGGGGTGGAGTAGGGCTTCATTGGCTCAGGGAGAATGCTTTACCAGCCCTTCAGCAGGAGGGCAGCTCTGTGGCACGTGGTAGTTGGCGGTAGACGGACAGCAGGAGGGCAGCTCTGTGGCACACGGTGGTTGGCGGTAGGTAGACAACAGGAGAGCAGCTCTGTGGCACACGGTGGTTGGCGGTAGGTGGACAGCAGGAGGTCAGCTCTGTGGCACACGGTGGTTGGCGGTAGACGGACAGCAGGAGAACAGCTCTGTGGCACACGGTGGTTGGCGGTAGGTAGACAGCAGGAGAACAGCTCTGTGGCACACGGTGGTTGGCGGTAGGTAGACAACAGGAGGGCAGCTCTGTGGCACACGGTGGTTGGCGGTAGGTAGACAACAGGAGGGCAGCTCTGTGGCACACGGTGGTTGGTGGTGGACGGAGAGGATGCCAAAGCTGCTCAGGGCCCTTGAGCAATACTCTGCTGATGTTTGAGGTGACTGACTTTCTTAGGGCAGCATAACGAAGTGCCACAGACTTTATGCTGAAGACACAGAATTTTTTCTTTCACAGTAGTGGAGGCCAAAAGTCCAAAATCAAGGTGTTGGCAGGGTTGGCTCCTTCTGGAGGCTCTGAGGGAGGAGTGTCTGCTCCAGGCCTTTCTCCTGGCTTCTCGTTGCCGGCAGTGCTTGGTGTCCCTCGGCTGTAGATGCATCTCTCCAATCTGCCCCCATGTTCACATGGTGCTCTCCTCTTGTGTCTCCGTCTCTTTTCTTCTTATGAGGACACCAGTCATATTGGATTGGGGACCCTTCTAATCCTGTACGACCTCATTTTAATTTGATTACATATGCAAAGACCTTATTTCCAAATAAGGTCACGTTCACAGGTATCGTGGTTAGGACCCGCACACATCTTTGGGGGGGCACAATTTAACCCATATCCCTTTTCTTTTTCCTTTAGACAACAGCCCAGAGACCAGGGCTAAAGTAAAATTTGTCCAGGACACTTCCAAGTATTGGTACAAACCTGAGATCTCCAGAGAACAGGGTGAGTGCTGGGGGTTCTGGGGTCCATCCAAGGTCATAGCTGGCTGCTGCTCCCCGGGATTCCCCTGGGCAAGAAATTTAAGTAGACTCCTTCCTCTTTGCAGTAGGTGGTAGTCATAGAGAGGGGGCTGGGATCAAGGTCAGACAGGAAGAGCAGTCGCTGTGGTAAAGTATGGGGGAGCAGAGCAGTGATTGTAAGCACCTCTTTGAAGGATCCTTAAAATGAGCAAAGTCTTGGTTTCTGGGCAAAGTAAAAGGCTGGCCAAGATAGTAGGAAATGTTAGCTCTCCATCTGCATGATATGGGAGATTTTTGTATATTTTACAGAAAAATAAAGTTGGGACTATAGGGGTGGAGATGAGGCCCACCTCAGGCCCCAAGGGAAAGTCTGTGTGGACATAGGACATGGTGTTGGTGACGCGGCCCCCGGGTCAAATCCGGACTGCTGTCTGCTTGGTAACTATAGTATTATTGAACACAACCACATCCATTCATTTATATCCTGTCTGTGGCTGCTTTTGTGTGGCAGTGGCAGAGTCGAGCAGTTGCAGTAGAGACTGCATGGCCTGCAAAGCCTGAAATATTTACAGAAAAAGTTTGCCAACTCCAGTATAGAAAGATCCTTAAGAGTGTTTGAATTCTCACTTTAAAGAATCTCCTCTCACTTAAGAGAGAATGAGGTTCCAGAGGCCTGATGAGACTTAAGGAAAGCCAGTGCCATCAATTTCTTATTTCCTCTTCTCTCCTATCCCTTCCCGACCCAGCCATCGCTCTGCTGAAGGACCAGGAGCCCGGGGCCTTCATCATCCGTGACAGCCACTCTTTCCGAGGAGCCTATGGGCTGGCCATGAAGGTGTCTTCTCCCCCACCGACCATCATGCAGCAGAATAAGAAAGGTAACACTGTCTTCTCTAACTGGGCCTCAGGAATAGGTGATCCATATGGTCTCTTCAAAGCCAGAGGGACCTGGGGGCTGGGCAGGCTTCTAATTCTCATGGGAGCTGGTCCCTGCTAAACCCTCTTCAGCAGAGTGAGTCTTGGGCTTGGTGATTGGGGTCAGAGAACAGGGAAGCCAGATTTTTGGGTCTCTGTGGTTGCGTTTCTTTGAGGTGGAGGAAAGGAGAGGCAGTCCCTCCATTCCAGGGTTCTCTCGTCAAAGCCCTGCACAGTGGAGAAGTCAGAAATCGGTGGTGGGAGGTGGTGGGAGGGCACCATGAGAAGTGACTGGTCCTCATTTCTTCCTTTTCATCCCAGGGGACATGACCCATGAGCTGGTGAGACATTTCCTGATAGAGACCGGCCCCCGAGGAGTCAAGCTTAAGGGCTGCCCCAACGAGCCAAACTTTGGTGAGATTTCCCCCACTTCTGTCTCCCCAGTTGGCTTGCAGAGAGCCTCAGGCCTGCCCCAGCCCCCCGCCCCCCACCTTGGTTCTGTCTGCCCCCCTTGTCCTAGACACAGCAGAGAAATGGACAGTGGTTTCCCTTCCTCTGTCCTCCAGTCCCTTCACTCTGCCAGATTCCTCTTGATAGATGTTCTACCCCACCGAGACTTGTTATCATGGTAATTTGAATAATAGCTATAACAACAGTTTCCTTTATTGACCACCTACTATGTGAAAGTCACTGTCTAGGTCCCTTCTGTTACTTCTAGTCTCGTGACAATCCTGCATGGTAGGTGCCATTGTCCCATCTATAATAATAAAAGTGTAATATGCAAATTAGACCGGACATCCTTTCGGACGACCTTTCAGATGAAGCTGGGGCTGTGAGGGCCACGGCTGCGAGGGCTGAGCCCCTTGCATGAAATTTATGCATCAGGCCTCTAGTTTTACATATGAGGACATGGAAGTTCATAGAAGTTAGGCTTATGCATGAACACAGCTAGTAAGTGACTGAGCTGGGATTTGATCCCACGATTCTCTGAGTCCTCTGCTGCACTGTCCTGAGAGGGGCCCCGGCAGATGGAGGGGCTTGGGAGAGTTGTTGGGAGTAACTTTCTCTAAAGGAAAGCTGTTAAGTAACCTATGACTGCTAGGGTGAGCCGTTGGAATGTTCTCCCTTGGGTCTCGCTAACTAAGAGGGAGTGGATTTTCAGTTTCGTTGGTGGGATGTGGGAGGGTAATGAAGAAGCTGATCATGGCGGCGTGGTGGGCTCCCTCGGTGCTCCGGCCCACTTCCAGCAAAGCTGCTCTGACATGCCATCTCCCTCCCCGCAGGATCTCTCTCTGCCCTGGTCTACCAGCACTCCATCATCCCGCTGGCCCTGCCCTGTAAGCTGGTCATTCCAAACCGAGGTAGGAACCTGACACTCCTCCGTCTCCCAGCCCACCCTTGAACTGGCCTCCTTCGTTTCTCGCCCCTGCCAGAACGCCAGAGCTTGGGCCAGGCTTAGAGGACATGGGTCATTTTGCCATCTGGGGAAACTTGAAACCACCTCTTTTTTTCTATTTAAAAAAAAAGGAAACATTTATTAAAAAGCTTAACTTCAGGAATGTACATAATTGACTTGCCAGATTGTTCTAAAAAATTCTCTAGAGGCTTAAAGAAATTCAAATGAATTATCAGAATAAGCCTCATCCCAGGAGGCAGTCGTGGGGAGGACCTTGTCCAGAGGGTGAGATGCGCGTCGGCGGGGAGGGGGGAGGCAGATTTAGGTCATGGGGCACCCGGGGTGGGAGGTTGGCCTGAACGGACAGGAGACAGCACTCTGGAGGGACCTTTGGAGGAGAGGTGGCTGGGCTCTGCATGGGAAGGAAAGGGGACGGTCAGATATCCCTAGAGTTTTCTAGTCTGTGTGGCTGACAGGATGTCCCCTGACTGAGGCACACTGAGCTGATAGGAAAGAGCGAGCCCACTTTTGATTGTGGGACGTCTGATTGGAACCCGATAGCCTCAGGACACAGAGGATGAGACTCTGAGTGAGACCCGGGGCCAGCAAAGGAGATTTCAGCTTCTCTCAGAGGGGTGTCCCACCCGTGGAGGATGGCAGGTGGACCCCAAGCTCTTCAAATTGAAGCTTCTATTATAGCACAGGCTTCTATTCCCAGCGCCCACAGGAGGGGAATGTGCTTGGCCCTGAACTTGAGGGCTGCAAACTGGGAGCCGAGGTGCCTTCTCCCTCTGTCCAATGATAGGACATTCAGAAGTGCCCCTGGGACTTGCTCCTCTCCTGAGGAGCTCCTGAGGTTTTGCCCACACAGAAAACCTCCAATATTGTCTGATAGTCTCTATGTATCCAATTCGATTCATTGAATTATTAATGATAATTGACCAGCATTATTAGCTTAAAAGTTCAAATGCAACTTAAATAGCATTATTAACCATGACAGTTAGACACTAATTAAATGATATTTCTACAGAATTTACCAAAGTAATTCAGTGATGATCAAACTAATACTGACATTGTATAAACTAGCAGTTCTCCAAGCCTGATCCCCTGGCCAGCAGCCTCAGCACCCCCGGGACCTTGTTTAAAATGCAACTATTCTCAAGTCCCTCCTAATCAGGTTCTCTGGTTTTAACAAGTCTGCACAGCAAAGTCTGAAAAACACTGGCGTAAATGGTACTTGATGCTTTTTAATATTAAAATTATAATTGTGCTATTTAAGTGTTTAATGAGTGAGGGCATTTATCGATCTACACAGACATCAATACAAAAGAACAACACCACCAACTGCCACTTGAAGTCATGCTTTATGCCTAGCACTGGGCTAACACTGTACATGGAGCATTTAAAAAACCCACTGAAGCACTTCTATCACCATCATTTCCACTTTATAGATACTTAGCAGGTCCTGGGCTGAGAGCCTCAACCCAGCTCTGTTGGAATCTAGAGCTCTCAACCGGCGAGCAGTTATTGACCATTCCAACTGGACACGCACGTACCTGCTGCCAGTGTCTGATATGAAAAGCAGTATCCATTGCGCAAAGCATTTGTAGAGCTCACCGTAGGCCCATCCAGACTGGGGAGCCTTTCCAGGTCTAGAATTTTAATTACTGGCTGAATGAAATCTTTGTCTCAGATCCCACAGATGACTCGAAAGATAGCTCGGGCCCTGCCAACTCAACCACCGACCTGCTAAAGCAAGGAGCAGGTGAGTGGCCAGACCCTGCCCAGGCCTTTCCTCCTTTCTGCCCTGTCCCCTCCTGCAGGTGCAGGCTAGACATCACTCCCAGACCCAAATGTCTCTGGGTGGGCACAGCACATTTCTGGGCTCAGGTGCTTTGGCTTGAGATTGGCCTGAAGAGAGGACCTGGGGGTCATCCCCACCCACTCCAGCCCCCATGACGTCTCCTTGGGTGGGTTTCTTCCAGCCTGCAACGTGCTCTTCGTCAACTCCGTGGACATGGAGTCGCTCACTGGGCCACAGGCCATCTCCAAAGCCACTTCCGAGACACTGGCTGCTGACCCCACGCCAGCTGCCACCATCGTTCACTTCAAAGTGTCTGCCCAGGGAATTACACTGACTGACAACCAGAGAAAGTAAGACTCTTCTGCCCACTTCTGTGTTAGGCTCTCCTCCTGTGACCCATCTATCCTTCCATTTACCCACCTACTTACCAATTGACTCATGCCTTATACCCATCTATCTCCCATCCATCCTCTGTCTATCCGGCCACCCGTCCATCCATCCATCCATCCATCCATCCATCCATCCATCCATCCATCCCCTTGCTTACCCACTCACCAGTTGATCCATCCATCTCTGCATCCATTCATTCCCCATCTATACTCCTCCATTTATTCCTTCACTCATTTATGCCTCCATCTATCTTCCTATCTATCCACCCATTTTCCATCTTTCTACAAATATGCCTGCATTGGGTATACAGCTGCAAATGCAACTGACAAAAATACCTGCTTTCTAGAACAGAGCACTTCCTCTCATGCTTTCTCTAACATGTCCCCCCACCCCATCCTTCTCCTCCAAGGTACCCCCATTTCTCATCCCTCAGTGCCAGTTTCTTTCTCCTTTTCCTAACCTGTAGCATTTGAGAGATGTTTCTCTGACATATCTGTCTGTCTCCATGCATTGCTTATGTCCCCAGTGTGAGCGGCCCAGGTTATCTTGGTCATACGGGAGAGGCTGTGTTGACCTACAGCAGCCACAGATGATGGGAAGGTGGCCTGACCTGTCACTTCAACACTCACTCTTTGTCTATCTGATGTCTGTACCACAGGCTCTTCTTCAGACGACACTACCCTCTCAACACCGTCACCTTCTGTGATCTGGATCCACAGGAGAGAAAGTGAGTCTCATGTAGACACCTTCTCCCCCAGCCAGCTCTAGAACACTGAAGTCTCTGTGTGAGCACATGTGTGTGCAGGTGAACATATGTGTGCGTGTGTGCATTTTTGGTTCAGCTTGAAGATCGGCCTGTGTCTGTGAGAGTGAAAGTAATTGTGCTGGGCATCTTTTTGAGTTTTTCCCATGACAAATTTGGAGACCCTGGAAGGTCTCCAAATACCTACTTCTGCCCCCTCTGTCTTGTCCCTGACCCTGAATCTGCTTCTCCTCTCCACACCGGGGAGAGAACCCTTGAGAGACAGGCCACAGTTCTCTTTATCTGAATGACCCCCAACCCATAGCAGGGCTCCTCTGCCTTCCCCCAGAAGGTCTGGGCATGCATGGGGTTGAGCTCCGGGGAGAAGGTGTAGTGGATTACGGCTGTACCATCTTTCTCTCCACAGGTGGATGAAGACGGAGGGAGGTGCCCCTGCTAAGTAAGTGTGACTTCTCCCCCATCCTGGCTGGCTGGTCTCTTTGGGGGTGGAGAGAGCAGGGGCAGGTTGAGAATCCAGGACTAGTTGGAGGCAAAGGGCAGCGAGGGTCACTCAGCTTTGGACCAGGCAGCCAGGTCTTTTGCCTTCTGCCTCGAGTCTTGTCACCTTCCCTCTCCCAGGACTAGGCCAGTAGGGATCTGAGGAATTGGACAGGAAGCCGAGAGTTTAATGAGGCGATGACAGTAGGGCAGGGTTGTTTAAATGATCGTTTCTTCCCCAATCCTGGCCTCCTTAATTCCCATTCCACTCTTTGGGTGGACTTCTGTTTGGCTGGGCTAGACTTCATCAGAACATGGGAGCCCAGAAGGTCTGAATTCTGGGATGACCCTGGAACTTTTTGGTTGATGCCTCCATCCATTCAGCATTTCCTAAGTGCCTCAGAGGAACTTGGCCCTGGGAGGATTCAGACTGACCAGAAGGCTAACTCTGACTCCAGGAGGCCCGCCATTGGCACAGTGGTTAGGACCCATGTACAAATGTTAACATGCTGTAGTGGTTTTCAAACTGTGTTCCATGGAACCCTACAATCCTCAGGTTGTAACTGAGCTCTTAAGAGGGGAGGAAAAACCTTGTTATAATGTGCAGTCATATATCAGTATGAGTCAGTGTTTTCTCTATATCACAAAACCCAGGCAAAGTGTGGGAATAACCTGGCTACTGAAGCTGACACAGATTGCCATTGTGGTCTGTAATTCCACACTTTACTCTGCTGGGCTCATGCAAACATGAGCTCATGTTTCTACTGATTGAGTTTGTAATGGTGTGCTGTTGGATTGATACATTTATAGCCATAAACACTGCTGTCACTTTTCTATATTGGGACTTCATATAAGATTGTTTTAGAAAAAGAAAAGTTTCTCTGTTAAAAAATTAAAACCACTGCTGTATGCAACATGCCAACAGGGTGCAGCTCATCGTGTCTGTGGATGTCACCGAGGAGAGTGCATGGGATAGATTCTAGGCAGGGGGAGATTCAGGGTGGTTTGGGGGAAGAACTTACATTAAAAAAAAAATGGTCTTAAAAGACAGGCACAATTGGAATAGGTAGTAATGGGTGTAGGGGTGGGACAGAGACCATTTTGAGGGGACAGGGAGGCATGGCCACCAGAGTGCAAGCTTCCTGAGGGCAGGGTTGTCTGTCGCATGGGAAGGGCTGGTGAATATTTGTCTAATGAAGAAATGAGAGGACGGATGAGGCAGCAGGAGGAGAGTGAGGAGGAGTCGCAGTGAGGCCACCTCGGTCAAGAAAGAATGGAACTGACCTGCAGTTAGCATGATCAGCAGCGGGGCTGTGTGGGATGAAGGGGACCTAAGTGTGCCCCAGGTCACAGAAAGAATTAGCAGCCCGGTGGAAGGAGGACCCAGGGGTCCAGCCATCTCAAAGCTTGCCCCACACTTGCCTCAGCCTTCTCCTGGGCTCACAGGGGTCATTCAGGTCTCCATGTCCCTGCCACCAAACAGGAAGCCAGAGCTTTGTATTTGAGGAAGCTCCTGCTCACTGACCACTGGGCTCTGTGTGGGGAGACGGGTCAGGGACAGGAGTGGGCAGGTCCCAGGCCTGTAACTCATTCTCCTCATTCAGAAACTGGTTTTGCACTGAGCTTTCTGCTGGCCTGGCTTTGCTGGCCGGCCACTGGCTCAGGGAGCCGACTGGGGATGGGACTAGGGCAGTGGTCGGCAAACTGCGGCTCGCGAGCCACATGCGGCTCTTTGGCCCCTTGAATGTGGCTCTTCCACAAAATACCACATGCAGGCGCACATGTACAGTGTGATTGAAACTTTGTGGCCCATGTGTAGAAGTTGGTATTTTGTGGAAGAGCCACACTCAAGGGGCCAAAAAGCCGCATGTGGCTCGTGAGCCGCAGTTTGCCGACCACTGGACTAGGGTGAGGCACACGGATGCCTGAGGCCCTGAAGTAAGGAAGGTCTTACTCTCAGGTCCTAAGTGCTCCTCCATGCCCTTGGGGTTGAGGTTTCTTGTCTGGACCCACTTCCCTAAGCAGAGAAAGGAATTGGCTATTGTTGAGCTGGCCCTGGGAGCTGTGGAGCTGACGTAAACATCAAGGGAGGGAGGCAGGTGGTGTTTAGGCTATGAGGTTGGCAGACTCTCCACCATGGCAGAACCTGGCCGCCAGAGTTGGTGTGCCTTCATGCCCACAGCTCAGAGCCTCTCCCCCTGGTGCCCTGAGTGCCCTCCACTGCACCAAGGAGCCCAGCAAGCCTGGAAAGGGGATTCAGGGGTTGGTCGTGGCCCCAGGCTTTTCCACTACTTAGACCATTGCCCCAGACCTCTGGCTCAGTGATTCCCAGGCCCTGAAACAGCTGTAGGAAGCCCAGGGTGTGTACACACATGCATGTGCACGGCTGCAAGCCCGACCTAACTTTTCTAATTTTGGCTGTTGTGGTCCAGTCCCAGGGAGAGGGGTTTCCATCGGAATCCCCAGCTGTCCTGATTGCCCCATCTCACTCTAATTAGCAACACGCTGGCTAGGAGGGGACCTGAGCTCACATTCTGTTCTCTGCTCTCATATTTTTAACTCTGTTTTGCAGAGAGAATGCCAGCTCACTCCAGTCTTGGTGCAGGGAGTGGGGGTTGGGGGAACAGGTGTGGGGTCTCTCTCCCCCTCCTCCCATTCTCCTGAGCCCAAGAGAAATGTGTGTGTGGTGGTGGGGGGAGGGTCGTGACCCTTTTCCTTTTGTCTCCCTGACTGTCCCCAGGTGTCTGAGGAGACCCAGCCCTTTGAGGGGCAGGCGGCATTTTATTCATTTGCATTTGTGTGGTGTGTAAGAACAGTTGGGTAGGGGCGGGGCTGAGATGGACTGAGAGAAGCTCAGCTAGGAATGTCCCCATTTTATTTTTGGTCTCGTTTCCACCTCTCTGTCGAGTCTTGTCACTTGCCTGCAGCTCCTCCTCCCTCCTCCTCCTCCACCCCACCGCAAAAGGGGAATTTCTGTGCCTCCCCTGAAACCAGTGCCACTGTCATTTCTTGTCACTTGACTGTCTTGTCAGTGGAAGAGAGAGAGGGTTCTCTTTTGGTCTCCCCCACCCCAATCCCTGTGCTCAGGAGATGTGGACAGATGCGGGGAGAGGTCAGCCTGAAGATAAGCTTTCTCACTTGGGCACCTCTCCAAGGCCTGGCCCCTCCTGCCCTCCCCACACACTTGTCACCCCTCTCCTGCCCCTGCAGGCTCTTCGGCTTTGTGGCCCGGAAGCAGGGCAGCACCACGGACAACGCCTGCCACCTCTTCGCTGAGCTTGATCCCAACCAGCCTGCCTCCGCCATTGTCAACTTCGTCTCCAAGGTCATGCTGAGTGCCGGCCAGAAGAGATGAACTCTCCCCATGCCCCGGGCCAGGGCAGTGGGGATGGGGCATGTGGGGAGGGGACCCATGAATCCTGACCATCTCTGAATCCAGAAGGAGGACTTTGGGCCAATTTTGGAGAAAGAGAGAAGAAAGTGTGACATGGGGAGAGGGAAGTGAATTGCGGAGGGGCGGGGGAGAGAGGGAGAGAAAGAAAGAAAAGGATGGAGGAGGATAACTCGGATTCCCTTGGGTAGATGGCTACTGCGCAACCCCCAAAGTCTCCAAAACAAAGCAGGTCCACCTAACTCCCTCTCACCCTCACAGGAGGCAAAGCTGGCCTCCTTGGGGACTCATATTTTGGGGGGAAATGGGAAAGTGTCTCCATAGCCCAACTGCTTTGCAAGGAGAAGTCAAGTCAAGAGAATCTTTTTCTGGCCCCCACTAGGGTACATTGTCAAACCAAAAGGAGCCAGCATGGGACATCACGTGGAAGAACTTTTGCTTTGAAAGTATCTCAGACCCGAGATACCTAAGGCCTCTCTGCTCTGCCTCTGATGTACAGTTTGTGTGGGAATGTATGTGGGGTTGTGTATATATCTGCTCCCACATCCTCACACTCAGATTTATATTCGACTCTCGGCTAGAATTGTAAACAGGTGTACTTGTCCATGTTCCACATTTGCACACATGTGCATACTGTCCAGAGGTCAGAGTTGGGGCGACCCAGCATCAGGGAGGGGATGCCAGCCTTCTTCCCCAGGAGCACCCAGAAATATGGGTAACAGGGTCTGACTTGGTCCCCCCCGCACCTGCGCTCTAGTGGCCCAGCGTGCCGCCGGCGCCTTCTCCTTGGCAAAGACCCCGGCAGGAGTGGTGGGACCATTGGTTGGAGGAGATGGAGACGTGCATTTCCATAGCCTCGGGGAAGAGACCCATCAGCCACAGTGGCTTTGACCTCCAGGCATCTTCCCAGAGTTGTGTGGCAAGGTGGGCAGGCCACTCCCCCCAGCTCTCAGCCCTCAGCCCATTCTTGGCTGCCAAGACCACACCAGCCTTATCTCAGACCGGCTTATCTGCATGATGTCTTCTTGGGTGCTGGGGATTGAGCCTTCTGATCTGCCCAGCTCTGTTCTGTCCTGCAGGTCCCCCTGTTGGGCTCATCCTGGGGAACCTGCTTGCAAGAGCCCTGCTCAGCAAGGCCCAGGGGATGCCTGGGGTCCTGTCCTCCCCTCTGCCGGGGTTTGGGGCCTGACTTCTGCTGGGCTGTCCAGGTGACTCAGCAGTGCTCTGGGCTGCTGCCTATATACCACATGGCCTATGTACAATACCAAAGCCTTGCTGTTCCCACTTCTGCCTTGGTTTCCCCAGCAGAAACAAGCTGCCGGGAGCAGAGGGCCTAGAATCTGCCTGGGCAATTGGGAACCCCCTGACCTCCACCCAAGTACTCTCAGCTGGAATGGAAAAGTCACCAGGACTCCATTCTCGAGGGGCTTCTTAAGCCTCTGGGGGTCCCTTGGAGAGAGGCATTGTACTGATATATAAATATATATAATATATATGTGAGACATACTGACAGAATCTGTAAGCTAATAAAATATAAGAAAAGGTTAAAAAAAGAATAGGTAAATTGACAAGAGGTATTTATTGTTTTCCCATATTGCTTTATTGCCTCCCTGGGCAAAAACCAATTCCCATCCCTCTTTCTATATATAAGAGAAGCCTGAAATGTAGGGGCCTTTATCCTTGGAGCAATCAGGGGTCTCCTTGCCCTGGCCTTGGCCTTCCCTAGACTTCGTCGGGGGCTCAGCAGGGAGGGGTGCACGTGTTCCATCTCCTTTGGCCCCCTCTTTTCTGGCAAGCCTAGGCCTTGGCCATCAGGCCCCGAGAGGAGCCCCCTCACCAGGGCTGGAGCGGGTGTGTGAGCCAGCGGGGGACATGGGTGAGTGTGGTGGGCATGGGGAGTGTGTGCGTCTTTTGTATTTTTTCTCCTCCAAGAAGCTGTATCTGTGTGGACATACTGTTTCAGGGAGTTAGAAAGGAGAGTGTCTAATGAAGACGGGGAGCAGTCCCCCGCTTCCCAAAGATTGAAACCTTGTGCTTGGTGACTAAGGTTCTTCCAAAGTGCTCTTCCTTCTGAGGCATTCAAGCCAGATCCTGGGGTTCCTTCTCCCCCTTCCCCACCTCCCCCTCTCTCTTCCAGAGGAGAGATTCCACCCCTTCCTTTGTCAATATCTAACCTCCCACTGGACAGCCCGGGACTCTCCTCCTGGTCTGGACGTCCTCTCCACCTTGAGGCCAGCGGAGGGTTAGACCATCAGGCAGATCCGGGCCCAGGGTCAGCCTTCTCACATGCTTGCCCACCGCCCACCGCAGCCCACCTCCCGGGCCTGAGCTGAGGGTGACCCCACAAGCAGGACCTAGGGGTGCTGGGGAGCTGATTTTCTCCCTCTCTGGGTCACTCTGGAGGGAGCTGGTTTCCTAGAGTTTGGCTTTTCCAGAGGAATGGGGAAGGCACCTCAGACTCCACGAGGTCCCCCCTTTGGGTCAGACACTGGCTGGGAAGACACTGTAGTCCTCCCATCTCACAGGTTGGGCCCGTGCACCCATGCGCACAAGTGCACACACACACACACACACACACACACACACACACACCCCGCAGCACTGCAGTATATTCTTGCCAAAGATGTCCTTTAAAAGAAAGCACTTTTAATAATTATTGTTATTATCGTGTAAATGTTTATCCTTTTCTCTCCTCCCCCTCCCTCGACATATTTGCTGTTGTTTAGTGTTGAACCCGTTTGTCAGCCAGGAGAGTGCTGTCTGGTCTTGAAAGTAGGCTGGGGCGTGGGGTGGGGCGGGTCCGGGAGAGGCATGGTCAGCGTGTGACTCAGCCACACAGCCCCAGGCGGGCTCAGCCGGGCCCCAGGCCCCCCCTGCTTCTGGCTGTTGTCCAGCCAGGCCTCTGAGGGAGGCAGGGAGGCAGGCCCAGTGCCTCCACGTGGCTCTTCCCAGGTGGAAGGAGAGGGGAGGACCGGGAATGGGAACAATGGAGAGCAGACCTCAGAGGGGAAATAGAGAGGAAGTGAGCTGTTTGATCAGCCTCCAAGGTGACTGGCATCCCCTCCCCTGAGGTCATGTGTTCTGGCTCCCTTGTCTAGCCAGTGTTTATCCTGGGTTTGGGAAAGGCCTTGACCTGGTCCTCATGGCAGCCTTTCCTGCAGCCGCTCCGAGCTCGTGGACGGCCAGGATCACTCCTGCACTGGGAGTCCCTGGGTGTGTCAGAAGCTGGCAGGACAGGGTGATGGGCTTGGTGGCTGTGCCACCAGAAGAGGAGGAAGCTGGCTGAATGAGTGTGGCCCTTCCATGAAGGGGCTCCCAGGAGGGAGATGAGTGGGGCGTTCTCCCTCAGATGGGCATGAGCAGAGATGGGCAGACTCCTCACAGGTGGGACAACACCTATGCTCTGAAGTGCACTGCCACCCTGCCCCGGGGTCTCCTCCCTTTGTTCCCAGCTTCAGAAGCTGGGGAGATCAAGGGGGCCAATGCCCAAGTCCAAGGGCAGCCTCTGCCCCTGCGTCTCCCCACACTCGGGGTCCTTGGAGAGGTCAGAGGCCGGGCCCTGGAGCCACTCTTCACTCAGGGCCAGGCCCCGGAATCTCGAGACCAGAGTCCCCTGGCAGTGGTAACACAGGATGTGTGTGCGCGTGCGTGCAAGTGCGGGTGTATGTGTGTGCATAGTTTGCGCATCTCTCTAGGGATCTTCAGGGTTGGGTTGGAGGAGGTGGGCAATAGGAGGATGTCAAGTTCAGTATCATCGGGCGGAAGGAATCAGGAGGCGAGGCCTGTAGGGCCCTGACGGGTGGAATCTCAGTGTTGGTGATGGGGTGGGCTCTGCGGCCCTCAGATGACCCAAATGTTGGAGGACCTGTGCTTATTTCCCACGCCTGGCTCTTCCCAGCGGTGAGGCGGTTGTAGAGGGATGTCCCAAATTGGGTTTCTAATCAGTGTTAAGCAGTTGAGACTCTCCTGTGTCCGTGTTGGGTTTGTGTGTGTGTGTGCGGAGCACATCAGTGTCTGCATGCGTCTCCCTGTTTCTCCCCTCCCTCTGATGTGTCATTCAAAACAAATGTAAGGAGTTCCTCACCCCCACCCCCTACCCCACCTCCCCTGCCTTCCAGGCCTTCCCTCTGCAGGAAAACCAGAATAACCCGCCCTCCTCCCGTGCCCTGACTGTGTATTTATATAGATGGAAATATACTTTCTATTTTGTATCATTGTGCCTATAGCCTCGGCTGCCTTGTATAAACCCTGATATGCTACTTACCCTGGACATGAATGTGTTGTACACCGAGGCTGCCTGCTCCTGTCGGCGGCTTTGTTTCCTTGCGATCCATTGTATGGCTTTATAAATGATAAAGTGAAAGAAAACCTGGGCTGTTGTCTAGCTGTGTTGTTTGGAAAGGGGTCTGCCAGGTCTCTGGTGGGCAAAACACGGCTTCCCCCACGCTCTGGCTGTGGCTCCAGGGCTGCCTCCCCCGGACCACTCCCCTGGTCCTCCCAGTGCTCCCCACCTCCAGGCCTTGCTTCTGATGACTGTGAGTTTTCATCTGGACCCTTTCTGCTGGAAGAGAAACTCAACTCAAATTGGCTTACGAAAATAAAAAAGGAATGTACTGGCCCCTGTGACCAAGAAGCAAGCATGGCTGGACCCAGGGGCTCAAACAGTGGCACCAGGAATGTGTCTCCATCCCTCGGCTCTGACTCGGCTCAGTTCGTAGGCAAGTTCCATCCCGGTGGTCCTGGGTGAATTTTTTGCCATTCAGCAAGTTAGGGGTGGTACCTACCGAGGCATGCCCAGCGCAGGGCAGGGTGCCCTGGGAGATCGCACATGCTCACGTGGCAGCTCCAGCTCCCATCGAGCTGACAGTGCAGCTGGGAGGTGGCTCAGGGCTGATTCGAGCACATGGGTGCTGAGACCCCTGTGGGCCAGCACAGTGAGCACAGGGCAGCTTCTCCCACTGCTTGGTCTCAGTTTTACACTAAAAAGTCATTGAGGACCCCAAAGAGCTTTTGTCCATATGGGTCCTACCTTTTCATACTTACCATGCTCTAAATGAAAACTGAGAACATTTAAAAAATGTCTACCAATTCGCTTCCATAGCAATATTCAACTGACTACATCTGAACATAAATAGAAATTTTATGAAAAGTGATGTTATCTAAAACAAAAAAGATTGGGGTAAAGAGTAACACTGTTTTTCGTTTTCCAAAGCTCTCTCACGCCTGGCTTCTCAGAAGGCAGTGGGTTCTTCTACTGGCTCCTGGGCTCCCTTTGTTGTGATACCACACACGTGCCTCTCGGAGTGAAAAAGACGAGAGCTTAGTATTACTAAGGAAATAGTTTTGACCTCACACAACCCCTAAAAGCATCCCTGGGCCCCCTGGGCCCTCAGACTGTCCTCAGAGAACTCCTGTGAGGGATACAAAGACAAAGAAGCCTGGGCGCTGCCTGTGGTGGAGGAGGACTGTGTATTTCAGACCTACTATGTGCTAGCCATTGTCAGGTCTCATCTTCCCAATGCACCCGTGAGGCAGGTGGCATTAGACCCAAGTGACAGATAAGGAAACCGAGGCTGTGAGAGGTCACACTGCTTCTAATGGGCACAGCTGGTGCTTGTCACGACTGGCGACAGCTTGCATTGGCAGACCTCGCTGAGCATGTGTGTTTTCTCATGCACACAAACCCGGAGAGATAAGGGCTGTCCTTGTCCTCATTTTACAGAGAGAGAAAGGGGGTTCAAAGAGGCTCAGAGATTGCTCAGTACCACAAAGCTGGTGAGTGAGCGGCAGAGCCAGGCTGTGACCCCAGGCAAGCTGGCTAGCCCTCGCCTCCTCCTGGGCTTTCAGGGTTCGCTTCGGAAGGGAAGGAAAGACTGATGATGCGTGAGGGGCGGGCAGGAGACTAAACCCAGACAGGGTGATCAGGGCGCAGGGCAGTGGGGCTGCCTTCCGGGGAGTGGACGGCTCCTGGTGTGCGATGGGGAGGTCACCCTCTGATGCTCCCCAGCTGTGGAGTGATGAGGATCCTGTGGCTGGGCCTGGTGCAGGGCCTGAGAGAGAGATGAGACAGACAGGCTATGGCCTGGGAGCTCGGCTGATCTAGCCTGGCTTTGAGGGGACTAAGCAGTGAGGCAGGGTGGGGCTCTGAGGAGGGGAGATGTCTGGGGCCGCAGCAGAGGGCTTGAGGTTAGGGAGGGGAGCGGTCCTGACACCCCATATTGCAAGGGAGACCCAAGGGACCTTTCCATTTGTCTGTGTGGCATCACCAGGGAGCTTATTAGAAAGGCAGAGCCTCTGCCCTGCCCTCCCCCCAGACCTGCCAATCAGGTGAGGGCTGCAGGGAGGTCAGAGCAAGAGGAGCTGCTGGTAACAGAAAGGGATGCTTTGAGAAGGGTGAGCTCCCCGTCCCTGCAGGTGTCCGGGAGAAGGCCTGCGGAATACCCTCCCTAGCCTCCATCCTGGGTGTGGCCGCAGGCACAGCCTCAGAGAGCCCCCTGTTCCCAGCCAAGCCCAGAGTGCAGGTGTGGCTGGGTCCTGCCTGGGAGAGCATTGGTCTCAGAACCAGGCAGGGCTGGGTTTGGTTCTGACTCGGCTGGAACCTCGGGAAAGCTTTCTCTCTCTCTGGGCCCCAGTGTTCTCATCTGTAAAATGGGATAACGCCTCCCCCGGAGGGCTGGTGTGAGGATGGAGAACACGCAGCATGGCCCTGGGTCTACTGCTGGGCTGCAGGCCCTCAAGGAATACACACTTCCTTTCCTTTCCTTTGCCTCCTGCCTCCTCCGCACCATTTCCTTGGGCCTCTGGGCCTCTGGGGAGACTTGGCAGCAGAAAGAACTTGGAGCTGAAAGCCTCCCGAATGATATTGATCTCGCTGGCTCCTGAGTCCAGACCACAGCGCGTGGGGATGATGGTACTGCCGCCTCCACGGCTCCAGCTTTTATGGGGTTTAGAGATCATCTCTGGCCATCGAGACAGGATGTCCGGGGTCTGGGCCCTCCTCCGAGCCTCTGCTCCACTCCCTGACTCCCGGGCCAGACTTGGGAAATCTCTCATTCCTGGATCAGGTCCTGGGAAACTAGGGGGCGTCTGTGAGGTCGCCAGCCCCCTGCCCTCCCCCAGGCCCATATCCTGCATTGACCTGGCAGCACCACGGCCCCTCCTTCTGGGGACTTGGGCTGGTTGGGGACATTAGGAGCAGGGGCCACATGGGGCAGAGGTCCTTGAGGAAGGCAGGAGACCACCCGGCAGACACGGAGAAAGCCTCACAGCCATAGAGCTTTCGAGCTGGTGGAGACCTCAGGGCTACCTTGAGGTAAGTCAACCAGTCAGTCAGTTAATTCACCAGATATACTATATTGAGCACCCACTATGTGCACTGAGCAATAGTGGGGTGTTCGTGTCCCTCACAGCACCCAGGTCTAATGGCAGTGAGGAAAGGAGAGTGGGGAAGACATATAATCATCAAGTACAGAACTATGATGGGATAAGTGCCCAGGGGAAAAGCCATGCAGCAAGAATTTGTTAATGGATCTAGGGGGCTTTGTGGGGGAGGAGGAAGGTGTCCCTTAGGAAGTGACACTTCCCAAACGCCAGGGTTCAAAGGGTGGACAGAAGTGAATTAGGCAGAGGAGGGAGAAGAGGCGTTTCAGGCTGAGGAAACAGCATGTGTCAAGGTCCAGGGGCAGGAGGAGCAGGGTGTGTCTGACCCTATGTGCCTCCCCTGGGTGGCAGGTGTGACAGTTGTAACTTGACCTTCGTTTGAAGGCCAGGTGGAGTAGTGGTTAAGTGCACAGGCTGAGGTGTCAGGTCGCCTGGGTTGAGGTTTTGGCTCCATCTTACTAGCTGTGTGACCTTGGGCACGTTGCTTGACGGCTCTGCTTCTGTTTCTACATCTTGTAAATGTGGATGGTAACCGTGGCACCTAACTTGGGTTCTTGTAGGAAGCGAGAGTCTGTACCTGTAGAAATGGCTTGGGGCAGCACCTGGCAAACAGTAAGTGTTAGCTACATGTCTTGTTTATTTGATCGTTTTCCCCTCCCTCACTAGACGATAGTCCCTGACAGCAAGGACCCAGGTCTGCATCTAGAGCCCAGCACAGTGTCTGGTATGTGGGAGGCCGCCCCATCAATGTTTGTGGAAGGAGCGAGGTAACAAGGTCAGTGTAGCCAAAGGACGCGAGGGTGGGGGAGGTTGGGGCAGAGAGGGTGGATGGGAGAGAGGGCTTCCTGGGTCATGCGAGAGGGTTGGTGTTTGTTGTGAGGGAAGGGGAAGTTTTTGAAGGTTCTTAATCGAGGGGCCATGGGATCATGCTGGCATTTGGCAAAGGTGTCTGGGCTGTCTGTTTCAGTACCCATTGAACTCCAAGTATATGTTAGCTGTTGTATTAAGTGTTTTATTGTGATCTCATTTATCTATTTCTAAAATGACCCTGAGAAATAGATATACAACTAACTAAGGAAACGAAAGCTTAGAAAGATTAATTTCCCCAAGATCTCAAAGCTGGAAAATGCTACAGAAATGGGCTCAAGATCGCTTTAGCTCTCTATTGTTTAGGATACTTGTTCATCTTCCATAACAGAGATCCCAAATTATCAAACATTTAAATGTGATAGAAGTTTCCTTCTCTGTCGAGTAAAGGCTTCAGCTTGTATTACAGCTCTTCCCATAGAGTTGTTCAGGAACCCTGGGCGCCTTAGTTTTGATGCTCTACCATCACCAATATGTGGTTCATTATGGTTGCACTAGCTCCTGCCATCATGACTGCATTCCAGTCCACGGAAAGCCAGAAAGAGGAAGGGAAGGCAAGCTCTTCTCTTTCAGGACACAGTACGTGGTTTGCATTGTGGTATGCATTATATCTGCCCAGATTGCAATGGCCAAAACCATCACATGGCCTCAACTGGCTGCCGGAAAACGTTACTTCTGTGCTCTTCAGCCATGAGTTCCACCATACTTCTGGGGACTTGTTGCTAGAAGAAGCAGAGGAGAGTGGGCATGGTGAGTAACTTTCTGATTCACACTCCAACGCCAGCAGGACGGAGAACCCCTCTGTGGCTCCAGAAGCAGGAGGTGAGGCCTGCATGTGCTGCTTTCTGGGGTTACACCCAGAGGATGCTCAGCAGTAGGTCTGGAAAAGCTCAGTCATCGATTAGGCACAGGGGTGATGGGAGGAGAAGAGTTGGGGAGGACTGTTTGCACATGGGCAACACGCTGAGCTGAGAAACCTTGGGTTGAGCAACACGTCGGAGTTGGACATGTTGAGGGAAGCAGATGTGGGACTTCTGGATGGAAATGTTCACCTGGCTATTAGAAGCGAAGGGTCAGAGCTGGGGATGAGGTTCAGGAGCTATAATAGTTGCACAGCCCAGTGGTT